TTTCCATGATCCTGCTGTTCCTGTTCCAGTTAGTAACAGTGCTGAACCATTAAATCGAAGTTCAAGGTGCACCCTCTTTTTTCCCCCTCTCAATGATCATCACGCGTGCATATATACATACATATATATATATAGCTTTTGTGTCTGATGGCTTGATTACAGTATCAACCAGTGCAGAGAGTTGAAAGATCATCCGTTAGCAAAGGGTAACATTTTTACAGAGAAGCCAACGCCGGTTCTATTGTACAAATTCTACACTTATAATCTATCTCCTCCTAAAAACTTGAGTCATGGATTCCCCTCAAAGAAAGATGAGAAGGAGAAAACATTAGATACACTTCAAAAAGGTGAAGATTCAATTCTCAGCGTTAAAAGTTCCATCATGATAAGAACATCGTTTGATTCATTCACTCGATCAAGACATGAACTTACAGGACTAAATGATATTCTTCTGTTTTCCATGGCTTTTTACAGCAATATTACCAGCTGATGATCATGGGCTTTCAGTGCGATCAAAAGCTCCAAATCCTACGTTTTATTTCCAGGTACATACCCATGGTGATATCGAATGAATCTGCTTTAAAGCTTTTGAAAACTTTCCCATTTGAGTTATGTTCAATTGCTTTGGTTTTGCGTTTGGATTTGCAGGCTTCTCATCAGAAACGTGGACGCCATAGAAAATCAAAACTTGGGAGTGACATATTATCCCTCCTTAAGCGAACTAAACAAATAGCTTCATAAAAAGATCATCTCTGAGAATGCTTTGTAATAATTCCTTCTGCATCAATGCATATCCTTGGTTCACTATATAATATTAGCACAAGATCCAACACGTCGAATGAGTATATATATAAAGCTTGATCTCGATAAGCTCTCCAATCTTTCAACAAAGGCACAGCTTGATGATAATTTTATTTTAGCTTTTGGTGTTTATAAACTAAGCTTATAATGTCTTTGAAAATTTAACTAATAATTTTTTAAACAAAGAAATTAAAATTAAATGGTGATATTAAAAGGAGTTTATGATAATGTACTTGTTGTTTGAATGTCATTAAGTAAAAATATTTGAGTATACTCAAAACATTTAATACAGAATTTGTGATATAAATTATGGGTCCCATCTCCACCGCCATATGACACTGCAACGAACAAATCTATTAATTGGGGCATAAGTGATTTACTCATGCTACACCAAAGCTTTAAATTTCTTCCCCACTAGTTTTTCGAAAAATAAATATGCGCTAAATAAATTAAATAATTTTTAACATGTTCAAACAAAAATACAAGAATTATAGATACTCTTATTTTTTCATATATTACTCCCATTTTAATTTGATATAATTATAAGCTTAAATGAATGTTTTCATGCTAATTATTAAGATTTCCACGTTGTGTTCTCCTCCCAACCAATGTGGGACATCACAGTTATCAACAAAGGAAAAATCTGATTATATTGAGTTGAGATGACTGTCAACTAAAGAAGCTTTAGTGTGAGATATAATTACCATTTAAAAGGGTTAATTATCCACTAATAATACACTATTATTATGATTACGTTTTTTAAAAAAATTCACCCTTTTTAATGCTTCCTCCATGCTAGGAATTTGACTTAGCTCCAAATAACACAAATCCGAGCTAACCTACCTTTCATTCAATGCTACTAAATGATGTATTTTCCTATCTATTTTATCAAATAATATAATCATAAAATCCCATAATTTTATACCGTTTGATACGAAGAATATATATATATATATATATAATATTTAATAGACGTGTTCAATTTTTAAATTTATATCTAATCGCTAAGAAGAGACAACTACATATTTTTGACAACGATTTAAAAGTATTTTATAATTTTGTAAACTTTAAGTTTGTGTAGCAAACGTTCTTAAAATTAAAAAAATTTCAATAGTTTCGCGTAAAATATAACATTATTATTTATAATTCACATATACATTAAAAAGATCCCTAACTTTGTCTAATATACATATAAATTTGTTTATATATATATATATATATATACATTAAAAAAAAGAACATTTTAAATTGAAAAAAAATAAAAAAAAATATTTGAAAAATGTATCCACATTCCCACTAAATAATTATTTTTGGTTCTGTTAGACAGAACTAATTTGCCTAAATTTTTAATTGAATAATAGTTTTAATAATAACGAGAGATTTGGAAGGCTCTTGTCTTCGACTGTGTTTTTTTTCATTAAAAAACGACAAAAACCACATAATTAATAAACCAAAACCCAGAATCCTGCCCTGTTTACTGGAAATCCAATGACTGGCTGCGAAGGTCAACAAAATCGCCCAGAAATTTTAGTTGGGAAGGCATCACCTTAATCCTTATCATTTACTTCGCAGTATGAAAAGTGGAAAGAATATTTTTCTGTATTTACACTCTTAAGAAATCACTTGTTTTTCTTGTTTAAATACTTGTGTTTAAAGTTGAAGACCTTGAAATCAGAGCTCCATGGAAATCTGATAGTTTCGTGAAGAAGAAGGGTTGGTGTGCTTATATTCGAAGTGGGCTGCCGTTGGATTTGACCTTCCTGCTGCCTGGTTTTGTTTTGCTTTCTTTTTTTTAAAGAAAAACAGAGTTGCTGCTTTAGCACTCTGCAGCAACACGTATGGGAAAATCAAGTGTGTCCCATTTATGACAACTATGATCTTTCAACTATTTTCTTCTTCTTCGTCTTCTGTAGAAAAAGAGAGAGAGAAAACCCCTTTACTCAAAGATTAAACTTGAGCTCCAAATCTTGAGCTCATTCCTCTCCGCCTCTGCTTTGAAACTCTCTGTTCGAAGTCAATGCATCGACTCCTCTTTTTCTTTTTCGTTTAGTGCTCTGTAGCTTCACATGGGCGTCGGAATTCTCTGCAAATTTTGTGTCTTTTCTTCCTTTTCCGCCGATTTCTCTTCTGGGTTTCGTAAGTTTTCTTCGTTTCACTCCTTTTTCTCTCTCAATTTCGCTCCTTTGGTCTTGGTTTATGTGCTCTGTAGCTGTATGTTTAAATAAGTTGTTTTCGTATGAACTGTGATAAAATCTGCTTGATTACGTTATCGAGTTTGAAAATTTCAACCTTCTCACCGCGTTGTTTATTTATTTTGGCTCATCTGATGAACCATTTTGCTTTGTTTTCATTTGAACGTAGCCGTCCGAGCATTAGCTTGTGGAAGGATTGTTTATTTTTTAGAAGCGCAGACCATGGAAATATTGATGATCTACTGAGGTTGGAGAAACATGCCTCTGGACGGTGTCAAATCAGTGGTTTATAGATCATTTATCACTTGTGATGATCCAAAAGGAGTGGTTGATTGCAATATATTCAAGATATCCAAAGTAAAGTCTAAGAATTTGGAACCAAAGGTTAGAGGCCGTAGGAGAAGTAGAAATCCCAATAAGGTTTTGGTATCTCAGGTAGAGAAAGAGGAGCTGATTTCTAATGAAAAAGATGGCCAATCTTCTCTTCCATTCATGGAGGTCTGTCAAGGGGCTGAGAAGTTGAACCATATGGTTGGTTCATGGTCTAATGGGATGAGATCTGACAGGAAAACTGAGGAGATTGCTGAAGAATTGTTGGAAGGAACCTCAAGTTTAAGAGAATCTCTGATTATGCTGGCCAAGTTGCAAGAAACTTCGAATGAGTCGGTTCAGTTAAAGACAACTTATCGAAAAAGTTTTTCTTGTCATCTTGAAGATGAAAGTTTCCCAGTTGAGGTTCAAAGATCAAAGCTTTCTATACATGGTTCTTCCAGAAATGGACCTGATGAGGTTAAGAAGGTGATCAGAGACAACCTAGTGAGGCGAGATACGAAACGAAATGTTGCGGTTGGCGAAGAGTCTTGTTTTCATGATATAAATTTTGACTCAGGGTCGGAGATTCCATCGACAAGCTCGAGCAAATCTTCATTGATTAGTGACAATGTCAACTGTTGTCATGTTTCAACTTCTGGACAGAAGAATTTGAAACGTAATAATCTGATTGCTAAGCTGATGGGGCTTGAAGAAATTTCATCAAGATCACTGCAAACTAATCCAAAGGCGGGAACTTTTAGAGATATACTTGAAAAAATGCCCTTCAACAGGCTTATAGAGAGTGACCCTGATAAAGAGTTTAAACTTCCTGACTCTCACTCCTACAATCATTATGGTTCCAAACAAAGGTTGGAAAACGTACTACCAATTGTGTTGATAAAACACAAGCCTCTTCCACCTAATGTATTCAAGGAACACCGAGCACACGTCTCCTCGAACAAGGATGTTTTCAACCAACAAGCTACGATAAGAAGCATGAAAAAGAAAGAACTTTGGGGTTTCGATCGTTTTGATATCCATCGAGGAAGTTTGAGTTCGGATAAGTTGTGTAGAAGGCAAGAGGCAGAAGGGAAAATGCCTAAGCATAAAGAAGTAAAGAAATTAAGAAAAGGTACTGTTGATGCTAAGAAAAAGGCTGCAGAGAAGTTGAAAAGATGTAGTCCAATGTCTGATATGCCCCATGAGAAGGAGCCAATTCATAAGAAAATTCTTACGTCAAAGAAATTGACTACAAAAGAAAAGGTTATGTCAAGACCACAGCATGAAGAAAAAGTATCATCCACTAATCCAAGGAAGAACAGAACTCATAAACAACGAAGCTCCATTCCAGATTCTACGCCGGGACGAGCAGTGAAACCGATATCTAATGATCGTGACTGCCAGAAAAAGGAGGTAGCAGTGCCTGCTCGTTCAGAAGTTAATTCATTTGTGAGTTCTTACCTATCCTTTAATTTTTGATACACGAAACACTTACATTTGTGAGTGATACAATGTTTATTTTACAGACTCACATGGTTGAAGCCAAGAAAGATCATGACAATACTGATACAAATGAAAGTGCTAACCTTCCAATAAATCAACATTCTGCCACCCTTATGGCTTTAACTAGTATCGAGAGTGAAATCGACAAGTGTGATACAAAGATTATAGGTAAAATTTCCATCACAAACAAGATTTGTTGCAATATCTACTGTTATTAATCATTCATCTTAAAGAAGTTCATCAATATAGAACCCCAAAGGGGAAAGCAAAATGCATTCATCCTCTATTCTCATACTTGTATGCATCTCATATATCTTCATCCAAGAGAGAGTCTAAGTGAGATTGAATAACTTTGCCATTGTCTAAATGTTTATGATTTATGCTTAGTTTCATTCTACATCTTGTAGAATGCTGCAAGGAGAGCCCAAGCTCTCACTCGCTGTTGAGCCCCAAACTTGAGATCAACACGAGTATAGTCGAAGCTATTGATCCCAACAGTCATACCGAAACAGATATCGAGATCAACACGAGTATAATTGAAGATATCGATCCCAACAGTCATACCGAAACAGATATCGAAAGCTGCGATCAAGGAATCAATCTGAAAGCATTGCTTTTGAGAAGTTCCTCATTTCTCTTTCATGTAGGGGAGCTTTTTGATCTGAATCTAAATGGTAGAACAATGGTGCAGGCAGCATCTCGCTGCAATGATCCTGAAGAAGCCCCCAATACGAAACCTTTTATTGATTGTGCTATCGAAATCCTCAAACGTAAAGGCCATGACGAATTACAAGTAGCCAATTCTTTATTGCTAGGAGATGGGTGCAAAACAAAGACAGAGATTTCTGTAGAAAAACTGGTGAAGGAAGTGAGCGACGACATCGACACTCTAACGAGTTACCAAACGATTCAGGGCGGTAATGTTGTTGTAGATACTGTATATGCAGTGTTAAGTAGAGACCTATGGTGCAAAGAAGTGATGAATGGAATGTGGGGTTTTGGTTGGAAGAATGGATCTTCCAGAAGTGAAAGAGAGGAAGTTGTGAATGACATAGAGAAACTGATTTTGAGTGGTCTGATTGAGGAATCCTTCACATAACATCAGAAAACTGTATCTTCTAGTTTGTATATACTAAAAGACTTTCAATTACTATACCCCTAATCTTTATATTTCCAATGCATACTCAAGGAATTAAAGCACGAAATTATGCACTCTTTTTGATTTTGTAACGGTCCAAGTCTATCGTTAACAGATATTGTCTGTTTTGGTATATTATGTATCGCCCTTGATTTCGAGTCTCAAATTTTGGGATGTTACAAATGGTACAGGGCCAAACACGGGACAGTGTGCTAGTGAAGACGTTGGCCACCAAAGGAGGTGAGTTGTGAGAACCACATTGGTTGGAAAGGGGAATGAAACATTTCTTATAAGGGTGTTGAAACTTTTTCCTAGTAAACGAGTTTTAAAACTGTGAGGCTAACGGCTATATGTAACGGGCCAATGTAGACAATATCTACTAGAAATGGACTTGGGCTGTTACATTTTGTGCAGTGAATCCACGCCATTCCATTCAAGACAGAGTCCATATGATTACGAGGGGGGCACAAACGTAGGAACTTTCTTTCCTAGTTGATTGGTCTAACAATTTCTACGGTTTTGTGTGTTTTTTCTTTGAAAGAAATAAGAACTTGTGCAGCAGTAAAAAGAACAGGCATCGAAATGGAATCTAAAGTCATTCTAAACCGGTGGACACCATTATTTGCAGTCGGAATCAGGTGGGGAAGGAGAAGGATGTGGGAGTTTCTTAGCATGGTGGAGGCAATCAACAAATTGGGCGTTTAGCTTCAATTTGTGCATCTTTTTCGGAGAACAAAATTCAAGATTTAACAATGCAGTGATATCAAATCAATGATTTGGGACATGGAAAATACAAAAAGCATACATAAACTGACACTGACCCGACGATTTGCGACGTTTTGAGGAATAACAGCTTCCCAATTTCCCATCCCACACGCCATAGTCGCCGACCTTTGTCCTTGTCGACAGGGAAAAAGAAACAGTGCAAGAAAAAACGAATAATATATATATATATATTTTTTTTTTAAAGTTAAAAAACTTAAAAAAGTTAATCAGAGATAAATCTAAAATATTTTAAAATTCAGCCTCTGACTTCAAAGGGTTGCCTTGTTGCCGGTCTACTGTCTTCGGGGCGAAGGTTTTTAAGCTGCAGAACGCTGTGGCTGGGCTTTCCAATAGGGGCTGCCGGTGATGGCCGACGAAAAAGCGGCGATTGCGATCTCCAGCAGAGATAGAGAGCGAGATCTACAGCTTCTAATTCCCGTTGCCGGCTCGCCAAATGACGTTGCTGCCTCTTGTAAGCCCTCATCCTCTTCATCGTCCTCGCAGCAGACTGGACGCGAGGTATTCTTTACTTCTTTTCAATTCATTTTTTTACCTCCTGATCGTTGGAAGCTAGTCAGTGGTGTTGCTTGTTGTTATATTGAAATTTCTGTGTGTCACAGTCGATTTTAGGTTCGGTTTGGTTTTGTGTTAATCAGTTCAATCGTGGCAGTCGCCTTCCTCCTCCTCTTCTCCCATTTTTCTGTTTCTCTCGTTCTTGTGTTGCTTGGTGGACTGCTTTTGTCATGGTTGGAGCACGAGTCCATCCTTATGTACTTTAATTATTCACTCTACCATATTTTATACGTTAGAAGTTTTACGCTTTTGGAATTATCAAGGTGTTTCTCCACTGTAGGGTTCAATTGATCCAATCGATATTTCTAAATTATGGCCCTCAGAGATTATGTTTCAGATGCCTTGTGGTCGCTCTTGTATGATCCATAAAAAGGCATTCCTCCAAGAGTTTGATAACTTAACAATTCTTTTCGATTTTGAAAAGTTACTGATGGAATACTTAAAACTTCTTCCTCTCTAAAGAAAAAAAAAAAAAAAAATGATGGGAGTTTTACTACAGTACGGATGTTATAAACTCACATCTTTTTTTAAACGTCTAGTTTACTCTATGAAGGTATTAATACTATAGTTGGAATAGCTATGGATGTGTACTACACCAACTTAATTAGCTGATGGAGAATGTTGAAATCTTTTCTTTTTATGCATCAAGCTTATTTTAGTCATTCTGTCATTTAAAATTGGAATAGCCAGTTACTTGTTATTCAAATTTTCAATCCGGGGTTCAAATATCTATTTTTTCTACTGTGCAGACATTTTACAGAGTCTTTAGGAGCTGGGCCTCAAAAAAGTTCATGACTGGATGGTTTGTTATTTATTCTTTTCTTTGTAGTTAATTTTATTCAATGTTTTTGATGCTAAGAAAACATGGCATATAAACTAAAATTGCAATTTCAGCCTGCTGTTTGAAAACTGCACTTGAAATTTTGTTCTATTTATATAACGGAATAGAGTTGTTATTTCCCTCAGTAAGTATGTTCAGCAGGGTAATAGGTTTTGAATTGGAAATAAATATTTATTTGTTTGCAACTTGCCAGCATTTCCAATTACAGTTGTTTGTCATTGTGCTTACTGCTGAGTGATAAGTGATAATAGTGTTTTAATACCTTAACGAGTTACCATCTGCCTATTTTGCAGTGTCATTTTATTTCCAATTGCAATAACTTTCTATATAACGTGGTGGTTTATTCACTTCGTGGATGGATTTTTTTCTCCGATCTATGCAAAACTTGGAATTAATATCTTTGGTAAGCAATCTTTATCACTGAACACTTCGTCTCAACCCATTCAGTCCATGTGCAATTTGTTTCATATGCATTTTATACTACCTACATGAGTGATCATCGTTATTTACCTCCATCAATATCTGTTTTCTTTTTGCTGCTCATATGCAGATAGGAAATATCACAAATAATTATGTAAATGCTTATATTGCCAGATGATTAATGAGTGTTCATTCATTGCGAAAACCTGTTAAATTGTAAATTTCAAAGTTTCTTATCATTAGCTTATTCTCATTTCTTGAATAGGTCTTGGATTTGCAACATCTGTATCGTTCATCTTCCTTGTTGGGGTGTTCATGTCATCATGGTTGGGCGCTTCTGTTTTGGCTCTTGGAGAGTGGTTCATCAAGCGCATGCCATTTGTTCGTCATATTTACAATGCTTCTAAGCAGATTAGTTCTGCTATTTCACCAGGTACATCTTTCGTAAGTGTATTTATTTAACTTGGTCAGGTTTATATATGAACCATCTATAATCTCGTCATTTTCTGTTAGATCAAAATACCAAAGCCTTCAAGGAAGTTGCCATCATTAGGCACCCTCGTATTGGTGAATATGCATTTGGGTTCATTACTTCAACTGTCACTCTCCAGGTATGTTATTTTGTGCTTCAATTTCTTTTAGTAACATTCTGCCTAACCCTAGGAAATAGTTTGGGGTCTCCTTCTAGACTTGTTGACACTCCGATATTTGTTGGTCATTTAATAAATCTCATTAGTCATTACATCACTTATGTATATCTCTATCTCTCACACACACAATACAAAAGTGATTAGATAATAAATGTTGGATTTTCTTATAGGAGCATATAATTGCAAATATATTACATTTGTATATTTCTTCATAGACGTGACTGAATTGGTTTATATTTAGCTGGTTTTGGAACTTTCACGAACATTGTTACATGACAGCCTAGCATTAGATATATGTAACTGATTTCTACTTTGCGTTGGTTTAATATTGTGGGATATCTTATTGCACGTAGTATTTTTACTGTAAATGTTATAATTTGAAATGTAAACTTGGTTCATGAAAACGACCAACTTCAACCAATAATACCCTTATCACTTATCACACATGGACCCACATGCTTATTTCGAGCATGAAAATCGTTGACGTTGTGGGTATAGAAATAGGTTTTATCTAATAATTTATGTATTCATATCTAATTTTTGTAGAAATGATATTTGGTTATTCCATCCATGATCATGCTTTTTATACATGCTTCTTAGCATTTTATTGATACAAGGGTATATTTTATTTTTATGGTTCTCGTGAATCTATCTTCAATTTTATATCTTAGATTCTTAGTTTTGGTTAAAAAAAATTTCACTGTTTTTAAAATTGTACGAATGTGGATGGGCTGCTAACCATCCGTGGGCAGTCCTAACCAGTGTTTTTAAAGCGTGAGGTACCAAAAAATGAGTGTTTTTTTTATGAGTTGTCCAATTGGGGAATGAAAATAAATCAATAAGAAGATGATGAAAAGTTCAAGAAAATTGGAGATTGCGGAGGAAATTGAACATTTCTAAGAATGTTTCTTAATTTCTTCCTACAACTTTATAAATGAAAAAAAATGGGCTTCATTTGGCTGCGAGATGAGCTTTTCAGATCAGTGGCCTTAAGTGAGTATTAAGTTGCCAAATATGCATATTTCAGTCGAATGGATGTTAGAGAGTAGAACGCTACTTTGGGAACTGTTTTCTTTTTATTTTTTGGGTAACTTAATTATGTTCTTAGTCATGTTACACCTTTTTCAACTGCCATAACTTGCAATGCACAGGTGCTGCGAAGTTTTATTTACTGATCAACCCCCCACCCCCACTCTAAATGCAGAGTTATTCTGAAGAGGAGGAGCTGTGTTGTGTATATGTTCCCACCAATCATCTTTACATCGGTGATGTTTTCTTAGTCAACTCTCAGGATGTTATTAGACCAAATTTATCAGTTCGGGAGGGAATCGGTGAGTTTTTCTTTTTATGTCATTATCTTCAGAATATCCCAGACAGTTTGACTTGAATTACAAATAAACTAAAAGCCCCCCATTTGAACCTCCTCACACACACACACACAAGTATTAATTTAGGAAATTCAAGGGTTGATCAGGAATTATCTTTCTATCTAAGAGGACATGGCTTGTAGCTTTCTAAGAGTAAAAAGGAAACTAATTATTTAAATTGCAGAAATCGTCGTGTCTGGAGGCATGTCGATGCCACAGATACTATCCATACTGGATTCAGATATCCGGCCAATTGATGCTAGAAGACGGACTAGAAGCTGAGACCGAAGATGTAGAATTGCTGGCTGCTAATCATCAATATACGGTTTTGGGGATGACAAATTAGTTGCTCTGCCTGGCTGGGCATCAAAACCTTTAGTTGGCAAAGCATAACTTATAATAGAAATTTGTTCCTGGTAGTTGAAATTTAATGTTATAAAATAGTTGTTGATCCAGTATAGGAAATGGGTGTGCATTAGAAACTTCTCTTCATTCTAATTCAATCGAGCGTGTTTACTTTCTTCCTCTTGGTGAGTCACAAAGTTCTGTTGCGTCAGATGTATATTTGAGACTGTACATATTTTGCAGCGATATATCGATGCACTATGAAACACGTCGACCCAAAGATTTTTTGGATAATCAAAATTTTTTTTTCAATACTCATAACATACATTTTCTCATATGATCATAAAGAAATAACCATATTAGCAGCCCGAAGTTTAGTTTCGTTCATGTATTTTTTGACATTTTCATAAAAATCATTTAAATCAATAAAAAAGGGTGTATTTAATAAAGGATCTAAAATGAAAATTTGGAAAAAAAAAAACCATATAATATGTACAATTTTTTCGGGTCGCTCCGGTTAATCGCAACTGTTCGTTCAATTTCATCCAACGGCTGATTTTCAGGTTTCCTGTAACTTCTCAGGAGGCGTATATTGTTAAAATGGATCCTCGCGTAGGGTTGTATAACTCGACGCAAATCAAGGAAAACCCTAGCAGCAAGGCTCCTTCCCCCTTCTATATAAAGCAACCTACGTTGTTTTCAATCCCACACTTGCATTCGTCATTTAGGTCACTGCAGTCTACCATCGATTCAAAATTAGGGTTTTCACTGCCTTTCATGCTTCTTTTCTTCTTTTCTAAATGTTGTGTACATCGTTTGTAGTTGAAGGGGGCGATGACGATTGTCATGTTTAAGGTCTCGTTCGTCGTAATGGCTGTGTGAAATGGCCTTGACGACCATCCTGATATATCACCACCCATATTCCGAGTCCCTTTTATTGAAATTTCTTTACGATTCTCTAGGATTAGGAAATGGCTTTGGGTCTTTTCTACTAAGATTTAATTTCTTTTTACCTTTTGCGATGGCCGATGATTGTACATTTTTATTGACAAGCATATGTCTGAATTCAAGCCTGTTGAAATCTATAATCTACTCTATGAGGCCATTTGCATTATCCGGTCTCCTTCTCTGTTGATTAGCTAGGTCATAGTATCAAATGTTTTGTTGATTCTGCCATTTGGAAACTGATTTATGATTTGAGTCCTGTACATGTCGATGATGAGGAAATTGGTATTCGTACTGTATGATCTTTTGTGATTACAATCACCTCTACTGCCTTCCTTCTGAGGCTTTGATGTCTAATGTTTTGTAATTTTTTGTTTGTGTTACAATACTTTGTCTTTGATTTTCGAGGGTCGAATGAGTCTGGGTCATGTGATGATTATAAGCATAGTTCAACTGAATGTACTGTGATTATACATCTTTTTAGTCTTTCGCTCCTATCTGATGATCCATTTCATTTTATCCTTTCATTGCTTCTTCATTTCAATGTGTTTTACAATATCATTATTGGTTTTTCATCATTGGCGGATTGGTTAATTTGGTGTTGGCTCTTTCGGTAGCTTTATGTTGTTTCTTACGTGTCTATCAGTCCATGTTTGATAATGTAGTTGAATTTGTTCGTACAATCTACATTGAGTCATTTTTCATATTTTTCTAAGTTAAAATTTGTTCCTACAATCTCCTCTTTTGGTGTGTTTTTGGTGTGTTTATTCAGTGAGATACAATATCTTTTTTGGTGTGTTTATTTAGTGATATACATTTGAAGCTATAATATCCCTGCTACACTGCTAGAAGTCTTGGGCTTGTGAGATTTTTGCGGCCCGTCTACTCAACAAGTTGTAAAATCCCATATGCCTATCGAGAGCTTATATTGACGTAGTCGATTCCTTCTGAAGAAAATTCTACCCTGTAACATTTTTTGTGACTTTCAACCCTCAGTATTGATCATCCAAGGAAGAAGACTTGTATACATTCTCGAGCTTATATTTACAGTGTTGATGGAGTTCGAGCTTAAATTTCTGACTTTGCTGCTTTCCAAACTGCTGTGCTAATGTGATCTTTTTGGAATAATTGTCACGCGGAGGAACAAACTATTATTTCCCATCGTTCAATTATGTCCATAAGAATCTTGATAGAAATTTAACACTACAAATTTTGGACATTTGTTATCTTATATTATAACAACAAAAAAAATGAAAATTTGAACGATCTCATACTGAACTAATACAGCATTTCTTTAATTATTGTTCTGGCTACCTTCAAACTTGTTTTGAATATGCTGATTCAAGGAGTAGAATACTTTCTCTGAGTGCAAGTCTACAGTATCAACGCTGAATACTATTTTAGGAAAGTTATATTAGTAATTATATTTGTAAATCAAATAGAAAGTGATGCTGATGGGTGTCTGTGAAATGCAAAACTAAATAAAAGATAAATGCTTGACAACAGAAAGAATCAATCTCAGGTTCAAAATATATTTGGCATACATCAGAATGGAATCATTGATCATCCAGGAATATTTTTTAGAAAGAACCCACTAAACCTTGTGCAATCCAAACAAATACCAAGTCTTGAATAAAATATTTAGAAGTACAATGAAAAAAATCGTCTTGTTTTTGTTTTTATTTGCGGATTCAACAAAGTTTTTCATGATTATAGCTGTGGGTTCTCCTGCTATGATCATGAGATCAGAGCCAAGCCAATGGAGAAGCAGGCTTCTGAGAAAATGGAAACCACCCAAAAGGAAGCAGGAAAAAAGGGTGGCCTCCGAACTATGCCTTTTATTATGGGTGATTTTCAACAAGTCTTATAAAAGTTTTGATTCATACATTTGTAACATGTTCATTAACAAAAACTCTGTATCTGCTGCAGCAAACGAGATATTTGAGAAGATTTCAAGTTTTGGGCTTCATCCAAATATGATATTCTACTTGACGAATGAGTATCACCTGGATAGTGCTAAAGCAGCCATCGTCTTGTTTCTGTGGTCTGCTCTGACAAACTTTTTGCCCTTTGTTGGGGCTTTTCTCTCTGATTCTTACTTAGGTCGGTTTAAGGTCATCGCCATGGGGACGTTGGTTACACTTCTTGTAAGCACTGATTCATTTCCTCAAATTCCAACTTAACTATTTGTTTTTTTCAGCCGCTTTTTGATCAATCTCTTGGACTTCAGGGAATGGTAGTTTTATGGTTAACAGCCATATTCCCAAAAGCAAGGCCTCCACACTGTAAATCACCTGGGGAATTTTGTGTGTCAGCAAACTTTGCCCAGCTAATGCTTCTCTATTTTGCATTTCTTCTCATGTCAATCGGAGCTGGGGGAATTCGGCCGTGTTCCTTGGCGTTTGGTGCAGATCAACTAGAAAAGCCTGGCAACCCCAAAAACCAAAGGACTATGCAGAGCTTCTTCAACTGGTACTATGCTACGGTTGGGGTTTCAGTCACCATATCAGTGCTCTTTATGGTCTATCTCCAGAACGCCGCCGGTTGGGTGGTGGGTTATGGAGTTCCTGTTGGACTTATGCTGTTTTCCACCGTCATGTTCTTTCTTGGCTCTTCACTGTATGTTAAACTAATGGCAAATAAGAGCTTGCTTCGCAGTTTGGCTCAGGTAATCGTTGCTGCTTGGAAAAATAGGCACTTGGAGCTACCCCCACAAATTTCTGATAAATGGTTTTACCATAAAGGTTCAAAGCTTTTCATCCCAACGCCTAAATTGAGGTATCTTGCTAATCATAACGTTTCATAATTGCTGCTTTCGCTTTTAGTGATTCTAAGGAGAATGATTCGTGTGTATTTTTTTAAGGTTTCTAAACAAGGCTTGCATGATAAGAAACAAAGAGACAGACGTGGATTCTAATGGAATGGCCAAATTCCCATGGAGATTAAGCACGATTCAACGAGTTGAGGAACTAAAAGCAGTAATCAGAGTACTTCCCATTTGGTCCACTGGCATTGTAATCAGTGCCACCATTAATCAATACACCTTCTCCGCTCTCCAAGCAATCACAATGGATAGACAAATAACACCCCACTTCCAATTCCCAGCAGCTTCCTTCGCCGTTTTCACAATCCTAACCCTCACATTCTGGGTTGCCATCTACGACCAAATCATCGTCCGACTGCTTGCAAAGTTCACCAAACGATCAAATGGGCTCACTTTCAAGCAGAGGATGGGCATCGGACTGGCAATCTCATGCTTGGCCTCCGCAGTTTCAGCAGAAATCGAGAGAAAACGAAGAAACAGAGCATTTCATGAAGGTCTAGCCAACGTACCGGGAGCAATCGTGAAGATGTCGGCGATGTGGCTGGTGCCACAACACTGCCTGGCGGGGCTGGCCGAAGCCTTCCACGCGATAGGGCAGATTCAATTCTTCTACTCGCAGCTGCCGAGGAGCATGGCCAGCATCGCAGTAGCTCTGTTTTCGCTTGGAATGGGCGGAGGGAGCTTGCTCGCTGCCCTGATTGTGAGCGTGGTCAAGAAGAAAACGACGAAGAATGGAAACGCGGGATGGCTTTCGAATAATCCGAACCAGGGCCATTATGATTACTATTACTGGGTGCTGACCTTGATGGGTGTGGCTAATTTGTTTTACTATTTGATTTGCAGTTGGTTGTATGGAGATGAGAAGGAAATAATGGAAGAGAGCAGGATTTGGGATGATAAGGAAGCCATTGAAGAGGATGGAACCTACAACGCTTAACTTCAGGGCATGTATGATTATTACATATACTATAGAATGAAATTTCCACTCCACATGTCAAACATAGTTGATAATATATAATTTTAACTAGTTAAACTATGTTATAAGTGAGTATAATTAAACGTTTTCTTGAGTAATATTCATTCCTTTAAACTCGAAAACTTGTTTGTTACAGCGCATGCCTACCGCTAGTTGATATTGTTTGTTATGGCCTGTTTACGTATTAACCTCACGGTTTGAAAACAAGTTGTAACAATCCAAATTCATTGTTAGTCGATATTGTTCACTTTGGCCCGTTACGTACCACCGTCAGCCTCACGGTTTTAAAACGAGTTGTAACAGTCCAAGCCCACTGCTAGCAGATATTGTTCGCTTTGATCATTTACGTATCGAGCAGATATTGTCCGCTTTGGTCATTTACGTATCACGTTTATCTCACGATCTTAAAATGAGTTAAAATGAGTATGCTAGGGAGAGATAAAATGAGTATGCCAGTAAGAGGTTTCCACACCGTTGTAAGGAATGTTTCGTTCCCATCTCTAACCGTTGTGTGATCTTATGCTATCGACGTAATTGATTACTAGTTTAACATTAATATCATTAGTTTATTATTAGCATTAGAGATTCTTTATACATGTATAAAGACTGGCGCCTAGCATTGGCAGGCTAACACGACGAGAAACTGATCCCATTTCAGGTGTTACCAACGCAAGTTTGGAGGCAAGCCTGATCCATTTGGTCCATTGTAATCCCAGCATTGCATGTATTAGCTAGAGCTTGCGTGTATTTCATCCCATATCTTGACATTCTTTTGCAATGTTTCTCATAGATTTTCACCTGTGTTTTAGAGACTCCATCAGCAGAGTTTTTGATAGCATAAAGTATGGGTAGCTAAGCATAGGACTTGAAAATTGGCTTACATAGTTCTTAAAGCAGTTCCAATCATCAACGAAGGATTGTCCATGTCCCCTACTACGGTAAAGCACTCGTGAGCTCTTTGCTTCTCCAAACAAAAGATCACCAATTTGATTTATACTGTTGTCAGCATGTCTTCTACTCAGAATTTCATCCTCTAGCTGCTCGCTAGCCTCCATCTTTTCTCTAGACCCATATGGGGCATTTTGAAACTGATATCAAAGCAAAGCTCTATAAGTTAAGGCTACGTTGATTGCCATCGTAATTAGAATATATATACATTGTTTAACAACTCATACCTTGTACCAGTAATGAAGGAGGCTAGCATCACGCTGGCTTACCGCATTTGATAGTGAAGAAATGATATGAGTACTCTTAACAGAGGATTCATTGTTGTTGTCATCAGAGGTATTACCAAAATAGGTGTTGAGGAAATTGTTTCCAAAGCTTTCGTTTCCATACAACATTACATGAGATCCATACCCAACTTTATCAACCGAAGTTCTTCTTCGAACCTGAGAATGTACGAGAAAATGTTTATCAGTAGTGTAATACACCGCTAGCAGATATTGTCCTCTTTAAGCTGATCTTACTTAAGAATCAATAAGCTTACGGTATGATATTGTTGGTTCAGAGTTTCCTTGCTCGAATCATGCTTGTCACTGCATGTCACGACGCAACACAAATTCATTAAGTACCGTGTTAAAACACCATTGAACTCAAAAGTTTAAGCGGATGGGTTACCTGTCTTCCATCCAAGCGACGCTGTACAAATCTCCGAGACAAGTATCATAGCCAGTATGAGGAGTAGGAGACTGTCCAGGACAATATGCAGCCCAGCTATCCTCTGTTGCATTTGATGCCGTTGTTGCATATATATTCATGTTTTCTGGAAGCAATCCTTCGAACATACTCCCGGACTCGCATGCCTCCACATATATTACCATGCTTTTGTAACTCTTGGCTTCATGTTTCCTTTTCAGCACGTCCATTAGATCGTTGGAGTAAATATAGTCACCCATGGGCATTCCTATGATCATGTGAAGCAATGTATAGTCAAATTCATGAGGGGAGTTTAGTTTGTTGACACAAAAACGAGTTGAAAATGTAAGTTATTACCGAGCATTCCAGCAGCACCATGGTCGGTGTAGTAGATGAAAATATGATCATTAGGCCCACTATCAATAACCTTACCACTTCCTCCGGTAACACCAGATTTGTTCCCCAAAATGGCAGCGTAAAAGTTCACTGAATTCACATCCTTTCCTGTATAGTCCTTGGGAACTCCGTGGTAAACATCAGCCCCACCTGGTTTGTTGATGATGATTCCTGGCCTTGGATTGTCTGGATGAAACGCAATATCGTCGTACATGAAAACGATTATGTTCTCATCAGGAATACCCTTCCTCAGTATTTGGTATGCATGACATACATCCGCCTAAGTCAAGAAGATAGTCAGTTAATACATTAGCTGCATACATCCAACAGTGAAGAACTGTTGGTCACACTCTGACAACTTTATTGAATAATGTATTGATATAAAGGGAACCTGATGTCGGTAATTATCATAACCATTGGAGCCAGCAACGAGGAGCGCCCATCGCTTGCCGGGTTGGTCGGTATTGGCATGACTGACCCACTCTTTCTTAGCAATAATGCTGTTGAAAAACAGAAGAGGTATGAGGAGTAGTGTGGTTGGAGTTGTAGCAAAAGTTGTCATATTAGGTGAGGAAATGTGAGTATGTTTGAGGATATCCCAATTCCCACAGGCATTATTATAGTACAAGTATGGTGGCGCATGCATGACTACGTGCTTACCAATATCCCTTTCTTTTCTATCTTATCCAAGCCGTCAAGCAAATGGTATGCCTCTTCTTCCTCACTTTCTATGTTTGTTTTCAATAGTATATTTTGCTCTATTTTCTAAGTAATTCTCTTTCCTTTTTTTAAACACTTAAACTCTTCTACAAAATTTATGCATAATCTCACGTTAATTGAGGAGGAGAATAGAACATCCTTTACAAGGGTGTGGAGATCACGGAAAGCCTAAAAACCCTCATCTTTCCCTAATAGAAGGGTAATAAAGAAACCGATCAGGAAAAGCCCAAAAACCTTCATTTTTCCCTAGTAGACGTGTAATAAAGAAACTCATCAGGGAAAGCCCAAAAACATTGAGGATGAGCCCTAAAGGAAAAACTTAAGAAAGATAGTATTTGAATAAGTATCGGTTCTGTAATTCTGAGAGACGTGTTGCTTTCCGAGCAAGTTAATAATAAATAAATATAGATTAGCGTATAAAAAGAAAATAATTTCATTCTTAGATAATTTCTATTATAGGATAAATGTTGACAGGAAACGGCAAATTAAACTGAAGTTAAACTATAATGATAATGAGACAGAGAAATTAAATTACGTTTTTTTTTTTTTTAATAAAACAATTTAATAACGTCTTTTTCTAAAAGAAAAAAGAAAATTCGAAACCGTACGCTAATCGTTATTGGTGAAATGTCGTCGTTTTCCTTACAGTTGGAAATTGGAACCCCGTCAAACATAACGGAACTCCGGGCAGTAGAGACGGGAGACCTGAAGCTACCGACACTCTTATCCAAGGCTTGAGGTTCGGAGTCCGAGCCTGAACTCCGAGCTTACTGAATCCGAATCTCTTTCCCTGGCCCTATCTCAGTGGTGACTGATGGCTCATCACTGCGGCTTTACTGCCAACCCCATTCATCTTTCTTCCTTCTCTATCACTCCCACAAAAGGGAATGTTCCTCTTCACAACCTATCTGGTTTTACTCCAATTTCTCAATTTTATGCTAAATCGTGAGTGTTTTGGTTCAATTTTGATCGTTTCTTAGCGATACCCAACTGGGGTTTTTAATCTCTTGAACTTTTGTTTCTCTTTAGCTTCTGAATTTCTGGCTGAACCCTCGTATTTCCATTACCGCTTTTGAAAGATGATGCATGCCAAATCCGATTCTGATGTGACAAGCTTAGCCCCATCGTCGCCAAGGTCACCGAAGCAGCGGCCGCTGTACTACGTGCAGAGCCCTTCAAGAGATTCTCACGATGGCGACAAATCGTCCACCCAAGCCACTCCCGCCTTCAACAGCCCCATGGAGAGTCCTTCGCATCCCTCTTATACGCGCCACTCTCGCTCCTCGTCTGCGAGTCGGTTTTCCGGCACGTTCCGATCCGCCCTTGGCCGGAAGGGCAGCCGGAAACGTAACGATAAGGGGTGGCCGGAGTGTAATGTGATCGAAGAGGAGGCAGACTATGAGGATCTATACGACGACAAAGGGTTAACTAGAAGATGCCAGATTCTGATGGCTCTGCTTGCGTTTGTCCTTATCTTCTTCGTGTTTTGTTTGATCATTTGGGGTGCTAGCCGGCCTTTCAAAGCTGAGATCAGAGTCAAGGTTTTGTTTCTAGCTCTATATACCCTCTGAAACAATATAAAATTGTTTCAATATTGACTTGTTTTGTTGTCGTTGATTAAAATAATATTTGGCAACCAAGTTGAATATCTTAGGTACATTCTCGGGTATTTGGATCTTTGTTTTGAAATTTCATAAATTTTCAATTTCCATGGTTCTTGTTTTGGCTGCTGCACCATATATGATCAGTTTAGGACAAGATGTTTGAAGGAATTTGGTTTTCAATGTCAGAGAAGTGAATATCCTTTTTCTCTTACAGAGCATGACAGTTCATAATGTTTATTTTGGAGAAGGATCAGACACAACAGGAGTCCCGACCAAATTACTGACAACTAACTGTTCATTAAGGATTACAGTGCACAATCCTGCAACTTTCTTTGGGATTCATGTCAGCTCCTCCCCCATCAATCTTATGTACTCCCAGATTGCAGTTGCCTCTGGTCAGGTAAAATTCCTAACTACGAACTTCCATAAGAGATGATGCATCAAGAATAGAAATGGGAAACTGATCCTGATCCAAGGAAAGGATTGGATAAAAATTTGGGATATTTTTCTGCTTTGCAGTTGAAGAAATACTATCAACCGAGACAGAGCAATCGAGTCGAATTGGTGAACCTTCAAGGGAACAAGGTGCCATTGTATGGGGCTGGAGCCAGCCTTGAAGCCTTGGATAAAAATGGAAACATTCCTATGATGCTGGTGTTTGAAGTTCATTCAAGAGGGAATGTGGTGGGGAAACTGGTTAGATCAAAGCATCGAAAGCGTGTCTCGTGTTCTTTAGACATCGACTCTCGCAACACAAAGCCGATGAAGATTAAAGCTGATTCATGTACATATGATTGAGAGAGATCTTCATCTTGCATCTTTCTCTTCAATGGAAGCGAAAGATTCTACATTTAGAATCATTCTTCACTTGTAGATTTAGTTCTTTCTTCTTTAGAGCCATGGAATAATTAATGAAAAAAAAAAAAAATCAGTGCATCAGTTTATGGTACATACTATTGCTTTGCGAAGTACTCTCCATACAACAACAGAGCATCAGTTTATATTAAAGATTCTGATTGTATAGAGTCCTCTACTAACTTGCACAAACTAAGACCAAGAATCAATACAGCCTTACACAAATGGCCAGTTCCTCAAACCAAAGAAACACTTTCAAATTACAGGGGAACGAATAGCGACAGTAAGGCATTTGCAGAGCGACAAACTGAACTTACAGGAGTTTTCGAGGAATCCTTCATCAGTTATTTTGTAGCTCCAGAACGTTTCAGTTTATGCTTCTACCTATTATCTGAAAATAGGGTCATGGTTGAGAGTTTGTGGTCTGTAGGCTGGAAATTTCTGGTGTGGAAGGAATGCCCTGTTGCTTATCAACAGCACAGCTGGGCTCAGAAACTGTTCCACCGATTCTGTTTGGAGGCCAATAGCGGAATAATGATCTTCCTATTATATTTTTGGCCGGCAGCGGACCCCTGAACAATTGGGTTAGCCAGCTATCAGCACAGGGAAGAAAAGAATTTCAAAGAGGTGCCTGAGATAGACTGAGTTCGACATAGGCTTTAGAAGAGTGGAAACGGCTAACTTCTAATTCAAAGAACTTTTCAAATGTATCAAGATATTTGGTTATATGAACATAAGTATTTTACTTGAATACACTTCTTTAAAGTGAAATGATGAGTGGAGACCTTACCACACATGAGAATCATAGCTGTTATTGCGATTATCGCCCATCACAAAGACCGAGTTTTCGGGCACTCGCTATGTCAAGGATCAAAGAGGTGTAACGTTTAGATTTCACAAAGTGAAGAAAAATAATCTCTCTTGAATGCTTGCAAGGATGCAAAACAAATGCAGAAAAAAGAAAGTTATGCTTACAACTGGAGTCATGTCATATGATGGTGGTTCAAGGATGAATTTTTCGTTTCTTTCGACCCCGTTTACGACAAGTTTTCCCTTCCGGACCTGCGATTAGTTGACATTCCAAGCAGAGTGAAACTGAAGCACATATATGCTTGGTGCTTGAAAATACGTAATCAAATGCAGGAGATTCAATAGTTGAGTGATCTATATCAGTAGCTCCAGGATGAAATGTGCAGCAATATCAGATAATGATGCAAATGAAAACTAAAGAATCACACCTCCACAGTGTCACCTTCTTTAGCAACAACTCTTTTAATGAAGACATCTGCATCTGTATATCCTACTTTCTGAAGCACTGGTGGACTTTTGAATATCACTATATCATTAGCGCAAGGGTTTCTAAAGTAGTATGTGACCTGCAAAAGAAAACATGAGTATTTTCACGCATGGAAACTATTAGAAACCACGACTCTCACAGTGATATTGTTTACTTTGAGTATAAACTCTATGAGTTTGTTTTTTTTATTTCTCCCAAAGGCCTCATACCAATGGAGATGTATTCCTTACTTATAAACCCATGATCAACCCCTTAGTTAGTCGATGTGGGACTTATCTCTCAACAATCCTCCACTCGAACAAAGTACATCATAGAGCCTCTCCTGAGGCCTATAGAGCCGTCGAACAAAGTACCCCACTTGTTCGTCACTTTTGACTATACCTTAAAGGCTCACAACTTCTTTGTTTGACATTTGAGGATTCTATTGACATGACTAAGTTAAAGGCATGACTCTGAAACGATGTTAGAAACTACAACTCTCCACAATGGTATGATATTGTCCACTTTGGGCATAAGCTATCAGTAATTTTGTTTTTGGTTTTTCCAAAATGCCTTGTACCAATGGAAGTGTATTCTTTATAAACTATGATCAACCCCTTAATTAACCGACGTGGGACCCATCTCCCAACCATCTTCAACAAAACCAAAGTCCAAAACCTCATAAATTTGATTGACAGAATAAATCATAGATCTTCTTCCCTTATCTCAAACAGTACAATCCAAGAACTTGGGATAAAGAAAATATGTTGAGCATATTTTACTTCGTCATGCATTAACAAGCAAAACATTAGGCAATTTTAACTATGAAATCAAAACTTGTTGTCGTATGAATATCATATTCCAATTTGTATAAAATTTCCAAAAGAAACACGGCTGCAAGATACGATTAACAGTAGTGAACAAAAGTTCTACCTTCTCTGCTACAAGTCGATCCCCAACATCAAATGTAGGATACATTGATAGCGAGGGAATGTACCTCGGTTCTGCAATAAACGTCCTGAAAGCAAGAGATATTGCTATGGCTGCAAACACTGTTTTGGCGTCGTCCGAACTCAAATTCAACCGTTCTGCCAGAAACCCAGAAGAACCCTTTTGCTTCTCCACCTTCCCACTATCCTCACTTTCATCGCCGCCTCCACCTCCATCGCCGCCGCCACTACTGCTTCCGGATTGAATAGACAATTTGCTGCGAGTTACTTTCGGGAAAATAGAACGATTGGCGAAGGGGGTCTGTGCGAATTTTGGGGAAATGGCGATTGAATGAAGATTGAGAATTGGGAAACTAGAAATGATATTGGGTTTTGAGAGGCGCATACATTGAAGAGAAGGATTGTCAAAAGATGGTACTGAAGAGAGGAGATGAAGAGAGAACATCCTCTGTGGCAGAATTGGGCCTCCGTTGAGGATTTCGAGCAGTTGGGTTTGAAAGTGGAGGTGTTGTTCTTCGCAGACGGAGTGGATACTTTTCTAGAGAGGATGAAAGGAGAAGACAACAAAACAAAAAGTCCATTGGATTAGATGCGGATATATGGAAAAGTTGGGTACTTTTCTGATAGTTTCAAATTTCTCGATTTGAGTTCAAAATCGATAAAAATACACAAAATCAACTCCAAATTATTGACATGATAGCAATTTACATGGTCACAAAGTTTGGATTTTGGTCCTCAACAACGAATTTACAGCACTTTACATTTATAATTTCAGATAGCAAGCACGATCACTTTTGATTCGCGCAGCAGCTGGTTGTCTCCTTGTTGTCACTAATGGATGAACATCATTCTACAAGTTGAAGTGGCATGCTGCCTCCATATCCAAAACTGGGGTTGGTTTTGGAATCAGCGCACAAGAGGGGCGTGCCTGACGTAGAGGTGCTTCCATAGACGTCCACATGGAACTTCCACTCCTCTGGTGGGAATGTCCTGCTTCGAGAATATGAAGATCGCTTTAACATATTACGTATCGTTATCATTTTCGTCATTTTTTTTAAACTTTGAGAAGAACATCTTTCTAATAGATGCGTTTTAAAATTGTGAGGCTAACGGCTATATGTAATGAGTCAAAGCGGACAATATCTACTAACAGTGACATCGAGCTATTACAAATGATATCAGAACTAGACATCGGACTGTTTGCAAGTATGGACACTTACTCTCAAAAGGGGAGGATTGTGAGATCCCACATCGGTTGGAGAAACGAATGAAGCATGGTATAAAAATCTCTCCCTAACATACGCGTTTTAAAATCGTGAGGCTGACGATAACGGGACAGAGTGAACAATAGTGAGTTTGGGTGAGAGTCACTATTTAAGAAAGGAGAACATCCAAAGAGGCTAGGTCAAGATGACTTCCTCATCTTTGCCCCGTCAGTCCTTTGTCGGTCCTTAAGGAGTTATTCTTCGTTAGTTTTTTTAAGAGATAAATTCAATCCCATAAAATTATATTTATGGGAATATTTCAACATAGTCACAAATAATTTAAAGTTGAAATACATAAAATTATATATAAAGCTATCAATAATATTACTTAAATCTCTCACTTATTTGTGATAATTTGTGAGTGTAAAATTTAAGATATTTTTACAACCACTTAATAACTATACTTTAAATAATTAAACTATATACTCCATGAGTTCATTTATTTCACCGTCGATTATATTGCGTATTTTTCAGGAACATTTTTCGGCAAACGGGGCGGGTCTATAAAAACCAGAAACAAAACAAGACTTGGGGAAGGGAGTTTAATCGCAGAGAAGCTCCACGAGGCCTGAGGAAGTTCAGAACTGCAATTTCCCTCGCCTTCTTCATACTCAGCTCCTCGTTGATTTTCCCCCCAAAATCAATGAATTCTAATAATTTCTTGTTACTGCAATCATGATCGGATTTTCGATTTCTTCTTCGTCTATCTCCTTCTTCGTCATCTTCGTCCCCATCTTTATCTCCATTTCTGTTTTCCAATTCAACCCCTCATCCGATCACACCGTATTCCAAACCCTAACTCGAAACTACTCACCCAACGATCCATTTACGTCCAAGAACGTCACTGATGGGAACCGAGTCTCGCAGAAGAACTACATTGTTCGCTTCGTCCAATACAGGGAGGCGAAGGAGCATCGATTTTATCTGGAGTCACGTATTAGATCGGGCGGCTGGAAATGGATCGAGAGGCGGAACCCTGCGTCCAAGTATCCAACCGATTTTGGCTTGGTATCAATTGAGGACTCGGTGGTAAGGGAGCTGGTTGAGGAGATTGAGGAATTTGAGCTTGTCAAGGACGTGAATGTCGATGCAAGCCACGTCAGGGGTTTGCTAGCGGAGGGTGGGGGTAGAATTGGGGCTTTTGTTGACGGGAAGAAGCGTCCGGGGAAGATTTTCACCTCCATGTCTTTTAACGAAGGAGGTGGGGAACGTTATACGGCAATTAGCAATGCCTCTAATAGATGGGGACGGCATCTGTCGATGCAGGTAATTTCCTTTAATGGCCGATTTTCTCTTTTCTGTTGATCTATTTGGCTTTGGGTCGTAACTATGAGGAAAAGGACGATGCAGTGGGAACGTCATGTGTCTGATTGAATGAATTTGGATACCATTTATTGTAGGAAGAGCTCTAGTTCAGTAAATTGATTTATTTTTTATGTAACTACGGAATGAGGATTCACTTTTATAAGCCAAATTTCAATCTTAACTAATGCATTTCTCATTTTATACATTTAGCACGGTTCAATATGGTAAAAACCAAATGAAATAAGACCAAATGTTTCCCCATCATTTCCCGTTTCAATTTTGTGTTCTAGTTAACTCTCTCTGAGAAACAATTCTTGATTTCAGAGATCTCAAGTCACCTCATTATTTGGAGCAGACTCTCTTTGGGCAAAGGGGTATACTGGTTCCAAAGTCAAGATGGCTATATTCGATACTGGTATTCGTGCTAATCACCCACATTTTAGGAATATCAAGGTAAGAAGATCATGGAATCTATTCCCATTCATCGAACATCTTGTTTAATTATTAGATCAAAAGAAAATCTCCACCTATGGTTTCACCTAATAGATTTTGAATTGTGAGTAATTCAGGAGCGAACAAATTGGACCAATGAAGATACTTTAAATGATAATCTTGGACATGGGACATTTGTTGCTGGTGTCATTGCTGGTGGGGATGAAGAATGTCTAGGGTTTGCTCCAGATACGGAGATATATGCTTTTCGTGTGTTTACAGATGCACAGGTAATGCACATTGATCATTACTCAAATTACACCTTTTGACTGCAAAAATTGTTCTATATCAATTTCCCTTGGTTAATCTAACAGTGGAAGGAGTATGGAAGCTTGTTGTTTATTTTTCATTTAAAAGAAGGATTATGAAAAGTATGTGTTCAGCCTATTGCAGGTGTCATACACTTCATGGTTCCTCGATGCATTCAACTATGCAATTGCTACCAATATGGATGTATTAAATTTGAGCATTGGTGGACCAGATTACTTAGATCTTCCATTTGTGGAGAAGGTAAGATTTCTTTGTTCGGTTGATTGCAATTTGGTGATTGGGCGAAATAAGTTATGAAGTTGAAAAAAAAAAAAGAATTTACTTAATTTTGTTTGGTTTTAGGTTAATTAATTGCTGAATTTGTCTTGATCAAACAAATTCTTCCTAAATGTAACTTTTCCATTAAATTAATTATTTACCTTCTTTCAGGTTAGAGTTTGCCAGCATTGCTATTACAAAGAGCTTTAGACTAACAAAATGTGTGTTGTCATTGGGATACTGCCAATTTTTTCTTCATGACATTTATTAACAGTTATTGAACGAACTATATAATCTGGAAGTTTTATTAATATTGTCCTAACATGATCATTAGCGAATATACGGTTGAAGAGACCTTTTCCTGTGAAATAATCTTTTCCTTGATGAAGTTTCTTCTGAAATACTTTAGCTTGTTGAGTTTTTGGTTTTGTATATTATTGTATTTGTAGTTTAAACTTGTGGGTAACATCTTAATAGAGTGAGAGGTCTATTGTTGAATCCATGCATCAGAGATAATTACATCCAATCAACTTTTATTTGTCTGCCAGATTTGGGAAATAACGGCAAATAATATCATCATGGTTTCTGCAATTGGGAATGATGGACCACTTTACGGGACCTTAAACAATCCTGCAGATCAGAGTGATGTCATTGGTGTTGGTGGTATCGACTACAATGATCACATTGCTTCGTTTTCCTCACGTGGCATGACTACTTGGGAGATGCCTCATGGGTACATTACACTTTGCTCAGGCCTTTAAGTTCCTTCTGTATTTTACTCCTATTGCATTTTTTGTAATACTGGGCAAATGGTTTGTCTCCTTTCTTTGATTGGGATTTGTACTTGGATAAAGAGTAGATGTGTGGATAAAACTTAAGCCCATAATGTTTTGACTTCTTGTCCAATAATTTTTATTTATTTTCACCTTATATTAGCCAACTGAGATGAATATGGAATAAGGCTCCAATTACCATCTCAAAGTTTGATGGTTTGATCCCACACACCCGTAATTATTGAACTAAAATAATATTCACCTTATGCTACTATCCAGTTTTTTTTTTTTTTTTTTCCCCTCTTTCTGTCCATTGACATCAGCACTCTCAAACATGTCATTTTGTACAGTAATGGTCGTGTGAAGCCAGATGTTGTTGCATATGGTCGGGAAATTATGGGATCAAAAATTAGTACTGGGTGCAAAAGTTTATCAGGCACTAGTGTGGCAAGTCCTGTGGTTGCTGGTGTGGTATGTCTGCTTGTTAGTGTCATCCCTGAAAGCCAGCGGAAGACTATTTTAAATCCGGCTAGCATGAAACAAGCACTTGTTGAGGGAGCTGCAAAGCTTGCTGGTCCTAATATGTACGAGCAAGGTGCTGGCAGAGTTGATCTGTAGGTTTCAACCCTCTCTGTGGTTTTTGTTTATATAGTTTGCTTCTAGAGTGTTTTCTTATTTCTTGAATATTCCCAGGTTAGAATCGTATGAAATACTTAAGAGCTACCAACCTCGGGCAAGCATCTTCCCTGGTGTTCTTGACTATACAGATTGCCCTTATACATGGCCCTTTTGTCGCCAACCTCTTTATGCTGGTGCAATGCCTATTATTTTCAATGCTACCATTTTGAATGGAATGGGTGTAATTGGCTATGTTGAAGGTCAACCAACTTGGAATCCTTCGGATGAAGAAGGAAATCTCTTAAGTATTCACTTCACTTATTCTAAGGTTATCTGGCCTTGGACTGGTTACATTGCACTTCATATGCAAATTAAGGAGGAAGGTGCACAATTTTCTGGAGAAATTGAGGGCAATGTGACTCTAACAGTATATAGTCCTCCATCTAGAGGAGAGAAGAACCGCCGGATTAGTACTTGTGTGCTACAGCTGAAGTTAAAAGTAGTTTCAACACCTCCAAGATCAAAACGAATTTTATGGGATCAATTTCATAACATCAAATATCCTCCTGGTTATATTCCTAGAGATTCCTTGGATGTACGCAATGACATTCTGGACTGGCATGGAGACCACCTGCATACAAATTTTCATATCATGTTTAACATGTTAAGAGATGCTGGATACTATGTTGAAACGCTTGGTTCTCCTCTAACATGCTTTGATGCCCGCCAATATGGGACACTTTTACTAGTGGATCTTGAAGATGAGTACTTCAAAGAGGAAATTGAAAAGTTGAGGGACGATGTTATGATTACTGGATTGGGGTTGGCTGTGTTTTCTGAATGGTATAATGTAGAAACAATGGTAAAGATGAGGTTTTTCGATGATAACACAAGAAGCTGGTGGACTCCAGTTACTGGAGGTGCAAATATTCCTGCACTAAATGATCTTTTAGCCCCATTTGGTATTGCTTTCGGGGATAAGATTTTGAATGGTGATTTTTCTATTGATGGTGAACAGAGTCGGTATGCATCAGGAACAGATATTGTGAGGTTTCCACGAGATGGTTATGTGCATAGTTTCCCTTTCATTGATAGCTCAGAGAGTGGGGCGGCTCAGAGCATTCTAACATCTAGCCTGAGTAAGGTAACTGTCGCAAGCTTCTCTACGAACTTCCCTTTTAAATAATCTTTGTGGTGGCTGAAAAGTGTTTCAAATTTGACTAATTGTTCAGTTTCCTATTTTGGAAGTTCAAGTAAATTTGGACATCTCTGTATTCTAGTTGGAATTAGATATAACTTTTGATCTTGCACAAGGGGGAACTAGTAAGTTGTAGCTGCAGTATATCTATTTTAATTTTCTGATGCTCGAGTATAATGCTCTAGAAGTTAGTTTCTTGATTCCAGGGAAAGGAGCCCGACACCACTAAAGAATTCTTGAGAACATTTAATTATTTAAATATCTAAAAACTGTCAGAAAGAATGTATTTACATGCTTGAATTATAGGTGTATTCTTATTGACATTAAGAGTCTTCCATGCTTTCATGAAATTATTGTGATCTTTGTAATACCGTTAAACTCACTGTTCGTTGACAAATGCAGGCAGACTTTCCAATTCTTGGCCTATTAGAGGCAGGAGAAGGCCGCATTGCAGTCTATGGAGATTCAAATTGTCTAGATAGCAGCCATATGGTTACAAATTGCTATTGGCTCCTGAGAAAAATATTAGATTTTACCAGTGGAAATATTAGAGATCCGGTGCTATTCACCAAGTTTTCCAAACAAAATTCACCTCTATATCTTGAAGATAACAAACTTCCATCTCGAAGAAGCGATGTAAATTTCTCTTTGTATTCTGCTGTTTCTGGAAAGGAATTGATATGCATGAGTGATTCTAGGTTTGAAGTATGGGGTACCAAGGGATACAGTGTACAGGGCAGGGGAAGGAATAGAAGGCTGCCTGGATTTCCCTTAATTGACTTGGGAAGAGACTTGAATTCTACTCCAGAAAGTTCTTTGATGGGACCTCCCAAGTTGACTTTAAAGGACCGAAGTGATAAATATGGAAACCGATACTTAAGCTTGTTCTACCGGGATGAGGTGAGAGTTTAACTTTCCTAATGAATTGAGACTTACAATATTATTTCATCAATGAAATTCTTATAATTTCCTGTTAATTGTTATTCCTTGCAGCCTGACATGCCTTTGATTGTTCCTAATCATTGGCTTGTTCCTGCTGTAGTTGCAGTCGCAGGTCAGTGATATATCCCCCGTTGCTCCTAGATTTGATTTCCTTTTTCGAATTGAATACCTGACTTGGTTTCTTCTATTTCAGGGCTTTTGCTTCTTTTGAGTTTTTGGCGAATTAGACAGAAGCGCCGACGCCGACGAAGAGGATCGGGATCTGCTCCACGTTTTTCCAACCTCTAGTCAGTGGAGAAATTTTGTAGTTTCCAAAGTATAATATACCTTCCAGGAAGGAATTTTTGATGTAAAATCTAGACGCGTAAATGTTGTGTAGCACCCATAGTAATAGATGTGTTACAATATGGTGAGTTGAAAATTTGAAGAAGCAATTACTGTATTACTTAGAGTTTGATCGCCGGATCTCAACCCAGGAGGCAAGACTCTAATTGCTAGACAACTTCCAATTGGTATAATATTTGAGAATTGAGATCTAAATGCGTTAGAATGCAAAATTGTTTGTTTGGTAAGACTACTTGGAAATTAGAATATGATGATGTGTTTGTTTCTGTAGAACTCAGCAGGTTGAATGTAGTTATATTATAAATCTCGATTATGAATTTTTGTACATTATTGATCGATGACAACATAACATGCTTAAGGATTAAAAAGATGTCCTTTTGTCGACTTAGCATGTCATACTTTACAGCCCTCTTAACTACTTGTATTAACAAACTAGGGCGTTTTGTAACTTGTTTTGTGGAGACGAAATCTAATCTAATCTTAAATCAAAACGCTTTTCTGTTTTTATAAGGCAAACTTACAATCACAGAAATCCAAAAGAAAGATAGAAGGGCGTTGTAGATTGTACATATTAGTGTATGAATACTTTCTTTGCTTCCTCACGAGCTTCAAGAACCTCCACTTTCTGTCTTCATTGTTCTCATTTCCATTTCCCTTGTTGTTTGGCCATCGCCACTCGACCCAGATGGATACAAACCATACTCACTCGTCGGCTCGCTGTACTCGCTGCCGTACTCCTGGCTTGCCAATGCCATCTTCCTGAAGTTCTTCATGTCCTCATTGTACTGAGATGTGTCGTAGTCGGAGCTTCCATGAGAACTGTAGACGGTGCTATGTCCAGGCTGAACCCCTTTGTTAAGATCAGAAAGCGAGGCTTCACCTTCAAGAGCATGAACCACTTGACTCATCCGTGGCCGGCGCCTCGCCGAATGGCGCACACAGGCAGCTGCACAAGCAATCATCCGACCCATCTCATTATGGTCGTAGTTATCTCGCAGCTTTGGATCTACTAGACCATCGTAGTTCCCATCTTCTGCGGCCCTAAGTAGTAATGGCCTTGCCTGAAATTGACAACATGTGCTGATTTAGTTTTCCGATGTCTGAGAAGGGTCAACAGAAATGGGTAATGTAGGCTAATGGGCTTACCCAATCGAGCAGTCCATCGTCCATGTATGATTGAGTTGTATCCACAGGTCTGCGTCCAGTAATCATCTCCAAAAGCATCACTCCGAAGGAGAAGACATCTGATTTATCAGTGAGTTTCCCACTTGAAGCGTATTCAGGAGCAAGGTAGCTGTATGGAGTAAGCATGACAACAAAATTCAAGAACTCAGAAATATGAAATTCACGAAATCATCATTCCCTCAGATTGATGACTACAATTCTAACTTGGATCATATGATCATACCCGAAAGTTCCCATAACTCGAGTTGAAACATGGGTATTAACATCAGAAGACAATTTGGCAAGCCCAAAATCTGCAACCTGGAAGAAGATATCAGATTCAACATATCATCAGCCACAAACCCATTTGAGTCTCACTTAATAGAATCAATCAAATTCAAGAGAATTCAGAATGCCCCCATTATTACCATTGCTTCGAATTTGAGATCCAGAAGTATATTTGCAGCTTTGATGTCACGATGAATGATCTTAGGATTACCTGCACATTACATCACATCACATGTAAGCCATTGAACAAACCCAGATCACATCTCATCACAAAAGCAATAGACTTACAGTCCTCATGAAGGTAGGCCAATCCCTTGGCAGATCCAAGAGCAATTTTGAGTCTCGTTGGCCAATCCATGGTGGGTCGTCCTTTCCCTACAAAATGGGAGTTACCTATGAGTTAAGATCCTCAACAGCCCATAGCAAAAGGGTCGATTGGATTGAGGATCATAACATACCGTGCAAGTGGAACTCCAATGTGTTGTTTGGAACAAATTCATAAACCAGCAATCTTTGGGAGCCGGTGATGCAATACCCCACCAAGGAAACAAGATGTCTATGATGAACACGGCTGATTATTTCTACTTCTGCTTGAAATTCACGCTCTCCCTGTCCACTTCCAGCCTTGAGTTGTTTCACTGCCACTTCCTTTCCGTTTGGAAGGACTCCTTTATGCACATAACCAAACCCACCTTGTCCAAGGAGATTGGCTTCTGAAAACCTGTCTGTCGCCATTGCTAACTCTTCATAAGTGAAGCTGCTTTGCGAGTAGCCCAAGGGAATAGAAGATGGAGCAGGAGCAGGAGCAGGAGCAGGAACAGGAGCATGCGAATATTCAGACCCTGAATAATAAGATCCAGATCCTCCGCTGCTGTATATAATCGCAGGTGACGGCGGTGGTCGTGATGCTGGTGAAGGAGACGGCGGGGGTCGTGATGCTGGTGGAGGAGACGGCTTCGGTACAGTCCCGACGACATGATTAGTCGGCGGCGGCGGATGTGATTGCCAGTGGTGCTGTTGGAGACCATATGGGCCATCTGAAATTCAATTGTTCATAAATATCAATTTCAATTTCAATATTTCATTTAGGGCTTAATTGAGAAATCTGGGATATTTGAGGGCTCACCTTTAAACGCCCCCGGTGGCGGCGGCCGGTAGTACGACTCCTCGTCACGTCTTCTCTTCTTTCTTAAACACAAAACCAAAAGAATGNACGCAACAACCACCACCACCACTCCAGCAATGACAACTCCCGTCACAAGTCCAGCCGAAGCTCCCGACGACGGTGAGAAAGACGGCGGAGCCTCATTTCCTCCCGGATTCGTAGGTGTACCAGAATGCGACGGCGGGGCGTCATGTCCTCCTGGACTCGTAGGTGTACTAGAATTCGACGGCGGAGGCGGCGAAGAGCCCGAAGGCAATGTAGGCGGTAAAGAAGTAGGCGGAGATGGAGTGGCACTGTCCGGCGGCGGCGGCGAAGAGCTCGAAGGAGCTGTAGGTGGTAAAGGAGAAGTAGTAGGCGGGGATGGAGTAGTACTGTCCGGAGGCGGCGGGGATGGAGTAGCACTGTCCGGAGGCGGCGGGGATGGAGTAGCACTGTCCGGAGGCGGCGGCGAAGGAGTGGTAGAAGGCGGCAGGGATGTAGCAGGTGGAGGCTGAGAGGCAGCGTCAGGAGGCGGCGGTGAGAGAGACGGGGCCTCCGGGGGTGGTGCGTCTGTGGTCGGAGGTAGGGGTGAGGTCGTACTAGGCGCCGGCGGAGAAGTCGGAGACGGAGACGACATTTTCCCCCTAAAATTATCAGCGTTACAGAGAGAGAGAGAGAGAGAGAGAGAGAGAAATAAATAAAAAGAAAAAAAAAATGGGTGTAGGCTATAAAAGAAAAGAGGTTAATGGGCGCTCTGAAACTGAAAGTGGAAGAAGTTAACAATGGCGGAATTTGGAGGATTAGAAATGGAGACACACACCGGAAGAAACTTCCTTCTGTAACACAGTACCAAACAATTACCAATACGGCGTTGTCTGAGCTGTCCACTCCCACACCAAAATCAAAATCCAAACTAAATTATAAAAATAAGCGGGCCCCACACGGCCCCCCAATTTCTCCGCTTATTTCTCCTCTTCTTTCACATTCCATTATTACTTCTTTATTTATTTTTTACAACCACCGTTAATTTCATTATTTTATAGTTTATTTATCCAATTATACTTTTAATTTTAAATTATCCAACTCTTTTTTTTTCTTTTTCTTTTCTTGGAATACTTATCGATTGATTAATAATTACATATAATAAAAAAAAAAGTGATAACTGATTAATAATTGAAGGACCTAAATGTTTTTTACGTGGTTCAACTTAACATGAAGACTTTCATATATTCTCTTAGCATTATTGTTATTATTTATTTATTTTAAAGAATATTTTATTTTGAAGATCGGCTTAATTCTCTAATCTTTTAGTCAATTAGTCGTGTATGGTTTAAATTTTGACGTGGAAAAGTGAAATTTATATCGAGACTTGGATGCACGACTCTTCTGATAGGCTCACGAACACATGGAATAAGAACATGATAATGAATTTTATGAGAGGAACCAAGGTGGGAGGTTCTCAAATTCTAGATGAGACCCACCAATAAAAATGTAACATTACTTGATTCTCGTTCCCTTAGAGTATACCAAGGTCAATTTCATATCCTTGAATAAGGGTTTAAAATATGATAATCCTTTATTGAATACTTAAGCAACATTTTCATTTTCATATTTAATTTCGGTAGTTATTTGGTTATTGATACACAGGACAAAGAATTCAACATCTAATCCGTTGAACGACTTATAAATCAAAATCAACCAACACATACGCCATGTAAAATCTCACAAACTACCTCAAAATCAAAGCCATAAATTCGAGTGCGAGACAAAAATAATTTGACCATAATAAGACGTGTGGTGGCGTGGATGTGAAGTAAAAAGTACAATATTATATTTGTTAGTCTTGAATTATAAGCTTGCTTGCAACGTTTTCAATATAAATATATATCCCACCGGCTGCCAGCCAAGAGAGGGGTGGAGATGGAGACGGTGGTTGCTTGTTCAAACGTGGAAGGCAGAACAGAGCAGAAGCCATTTGTGAACCCGGCAAAGCATTTGACTTGACCAAGTCCCGCCCCGCACGCAGAGCGTTAAAAAAGCACCAACTTTACTTAAATTCTTGTGGGCTTCTGACACACTACATTTCAATACAGATCAGTCCATTGAACTAAACAAATAAATAGGCCTCCAGAGGCCCTTTTCATGGCTCTGCGTTTGCGGTTAGGCAGTCAGTCAGTACATTTGCCAGTGGAAGTGGGGGTTGGTTTTCCCTTAGTGTGCAAGGAGGCTGGCTCAACTAACAATGTCCCTTTCTCCTCTCTTTTCTTCTCCCCTATCAGTACCTAACAATGCTGCTTTCCCGATGACGTTCGAATGCTCTCTTGGTTCGTGTTGTATTCGAAGATAATCAAGTTCCAGGGAATGTGTTGTTTGTTGTGGTGGAGAGGATTATGAAGGCGCAAACGATTGAAAGGGAGAAGACAGACACCCAGGTGTTCTCTGTGTACATCTCCATTGCATCGGTGAAAGAGAAACGAGTGCGGTTTTCGGCCCAGTTACATATTCTGTCTGCCTCCGCTGCATACAGAGCCCTCCCCTGCAATAATTTACAGATTAGATGAATGATCCGATACCCCTCCACATTTGGTCAGCTGGGTTCTTAATGAATTCTTTCCATGATGAAAATGAACTTACCTGTTCGTCGAACCACCGACCTCGTCGCAGCCAGGCAGTGACCAGAGCTAATAAGATTCTTGGAGGAGTTAAGTAGTTGATGGCTCTTCCTGTTCCTTTCACGACCCGCATCCGAGGAACTAATGTTCTAGCAACTGTTTCAGGAAGCTCACATATGATGTTGAACATCTGTTTGTTTCTCACAGTTGAACCACTGTATGCAAGCCACAAGTATTAGAAGGCTAAGATTTAGTAAGAATTGTTCCAAGGAGCGCAAGACCAAAAACATTGATAACAAGAAACTTGATTCACCTAAGAAGGAGATCTGTCAAAACCATGCCAGGAGATGCAGTGTGTACTCCTACATTGGACCGCCTGCACTCTTTCAAAAGAGATGATTGAAGCTGTCTAAGACCACATTTTGTTGATCCATACCTACAAGATCAGTAAACCAAATGGCATCATCGACATGAGAATACGATCCAGAATTCGAATGAAACCCCCCGCCCCAAATAAAACTACAGGATGCAATGAACTTACACAGCCGTCAAAGGAGTACTTGAACCTCCAGAGCCAGCACCGTCCATGTTAAATATATGCCCTCCTTTAGCCTGATTTCTCATTACACGCATGGCTTCTCGAGTACAAAGAAGCGAACCAACAAGGTTCGTTGAGAGAATCTATCAAATAGCCAATCAACTTATAAGTTATAACATCAAACACTTTCTTAGGGAAAACATCCAGAAATAATAAATTTACTTCACCTGAATAATATCCTCATCAGTAAACTGCAGTAATGGTCGAAAGCCTTTATTTGTGCCCGCATTGTTTATCTGTCCACAATTTGTCACATTAAACAAATTCAAGATTGAAAAATAAGAGAGAAGCTGTTCCTTATTTTATCCTTGATGATCTAAAACTAAATGTTTTTGAATAAGAATCTCTTGGTGCGATTGTTCATCAGTAAAAGTGAGATTGTGACAAGTGAAGAAGGTACGGTAGATCTAAAATGTGAATAATGAGTCTGTAAGTTCATGACTCACCCAAATGTCAATGGAACCAAGTTCATCTAAAGCAAATTTGGCTAAGTTATGAACATCTTCAGGGTCGCGGACGTTGCACGTTGTGCCAACAACTTTAGCATGTGACAGGCTTGTATTGGAAGAACCATTTCTGAGCATTAGACCATTTAAGTTCTCCTCCAGCTCTCTGAGAGTTTCTTGAACGGACTCAGGACTGTCTTCACAAAATTATTGGCAAGAAAATGTGATGTGAGTAAAAGTCAGTAGAAACGTTTAGACATTATGTATCAGAAGTTTTTTTTTGTTTCTGAAGACCACCTGCGTGATGCCACAACCACACGGTCTCCAGAAAGAAGAAACTCTCTGGCTAGTGCTTTCCCCAATCCTCTTGTGCTGCATAGTCAAACATCCATGTAACAGACAACAGTGTCATATATGAGTCTTCATGTTAGATCACATGATATAAGAAAAGAAGACCATACAAGCCAACAATGGATACTAGATAAAGTAATAGAGATGGGAATGAAGCATTCTTTATAAGGGTGCGGAAACCTCCCCTAGCAAACATGTTTTAAAGCCGTGAAGTTGACGACGATAAGTAACAGGGCCAAATCGAACAATATCTATTAACGGTGGGCTTAGACTGTTACAATTGGTATCAGAGTTGGACACCAGGCAGTATGCCAATAAGGAAGTTGAGCCTTAAAGGAGGTGGACACCGGGTCGTGTGTCAACAAGGACACTGTGCCTCGAAATGGGGTGGACACCATGTGGTGTGTCAGCAAGGACGCTGGCCACAAAGGGGGTGGATTGTGAGATCTCACATCGGTTAGAGAGAGAACAAAGCATTTTTTACAAGGGTGTGGAAACCTCTTCTTAGTAGAGGCATTTTAAAAACTTTGAGGGAAACCCCAAAAGAGGACAATATTTGCTAGCAATGGGCTATTACAAATTGTGAGATCTCACCTCGATTGGAGAGAGGAACGAGTGTTAGCGAGGATGCTGGGCCCCGAAGGGGTAAGGGTGTGTAAACCTTTCCCTAGCAAAAGGGTTCTAAAACCGTGAAGGACCAAAGCGGACAATATCTACTAACGGTGGGCTTGGATAATTACAAATCATCAATCCTATCACCATGAAATGCATTAAAACAAAGACCAGGTGGTGTACATTCTCCCTGAGGAATGATCAGTTACCTTCCAGTTATAACAACATTGCGTGGACCAGCTCTGCAGTGCTCCTCTAATACCATGTTAGCACCAATCATGGTTCCAATAATGACCCCTCCAAGCCAGCTATACCAAATCAGTGTGTTCATCTGACTGTCTCCACCTTCATAATTTCCAAAAGCAGAATTCATATTAACATTGACGATTCTAATTAGACACTCTTAATTACTTTTTTCGATATACCTGATAGCTGAAATCCAACAGCAAGTACAACACCAGTGCTCATCATGGTAACGATATATCTTCCAATTTGCAGTGCAGCCTGTTCATTATAGATAATAAAGGAGCTACAGTTAGTGATACTACAACAGAGAACATGAGATTCAAACAATGTTTAAGAAGAAGATAAGAACAACAGCACACAGCAACACTCACTGAAGAAATCAAACCCTCCATATTTGCCATAAGCTTCTCCCGATCAACATCCGACCCCAAAACCAAATTAAACTTACCCAGAACACCAGACCTCCAAAATTTCCAAAACTCACTTTCCTTCTTCGTCACCTCTTTTAACCTCGAATTTCCACGATTCCTCCCTTCACAATCCTTGCCTCTGAAAGATCTACACTTTCTCAAGCACAACCCACTGCGGCTCGTCGATACTCCAACCCCGAACCGGTGGACTCCCCGTCCAAGAGCTCCGATCAGGTGCCCATCTCTGGTACTTGGGACCCCGAAACTTTGTGGGTGGACGTGATGCCTCGTGAGCGCAGTCATTGATGGAAGATAGAGTTGCAGAAAAAGTGCGAATTTCTTATAACAGAATGCCACCGGGAAAAAGGTATTGCTGGGAGAGATATTTTTGGAAGAGTTTAGAGGGAATGAAATATCCAAGGAGTCGATGGAAAGTAAGGACTGCGATGACCACACGATAAGCAACCCAATCCTTGTACGACGAGATGACACGTGGCGTTGTGGGTCGATGTCAGCATCGCTTCCATGTTGGGTAATTCCAGCTAAATGGAAATTTGTCGCAAAGGGAGGGTGATGGAGCCTCACACGTTTTAGGGTATTTCGGTGCCAATTTTCAATCCACCCAAAGCAATGGTTCAGCCAAGCGCAGTACCAGAAGATCTTGAACCTTGGAAGTCGTTGAAGCATTGTGAATGCTTAATTTAGGTGCTACGATGAAGGGTTTTCTGGCCAAGCGTCTAACATCTTAGTATTTATAATTTGAGTTGTATAGGACGTCTTATTGAAAGCTAAATCTGAAGCCTATTTTGACTTGAAAAAAGTAGATGCTTGCATGGGTGAGTCTTAGTTCAGCTGTAAACTGACCTGATATAATTCATTGTTGGAGAGCTCTGTTACAACTAGCGAGAGAAATAAAGCGGCAACAGAAGCGTCTAGAGAGGCCCTTACGGGGTTAGGAATCACGTACTTCCACCATAGTAAGACTTCATAATAATGTAGATGGGACTCCCTTCCAACAATTCTCCCCTCGAACAAAGTACACTGTAGAGGCTCCCCGAGGTTTATGGTGGAGCCCTCGAACAACTTCTCCTTAATCAAGGCTCGACTCCTTCTCTTGAGGCCTCGAACAAAGAGATACTTGAGTCACTTTTAACAATACTTTCGAGACTCATAATTTCTTTATTCGACATTTGAGCATTTTATTGAGATGGCTAATTAAAGACATGGGTCTAAGACGTGTTGTCCATTAGAAAGCGAAAACTAGTTGGCAGTTCTCTCCCATTTATCTCCAGTCAAGGTGACATCTCACCATCCACTCCTTGGAGGCCTAATGTCCTTGCTAGCACATTGTTTGGGAAGAGAAACGATCGTGAGACTAACAACTTAACGAACGAACCAAAGCCGATCGTGGACTAGTGGAAGATAAGTTATACATATTTTGACAGTTGCATGCAAAATAATGATAGTAGACTTTGCAGATATTATACTTTTAATACTGCATTTAGTAGCAATGTGAAGCAGTTGGGCATTGATTGATTAAAGACAATAAAGAAAGCATGGACTTTGCAATCAATGGACACGAGACTTCGATGCTTAATTTGTATACCAACTGACCAAGATTTTAAAGAATGGAAAACAATCTCTAAATAATGGAATCTTTCTAGATAAGGGGATGAAAAGAGTGGGGAGTGCAAGTTCCAGCTCATACGAAACTAGGAGATCCAAAAGATGACGTGTAAATCATATTCCTCCTAATATCATGCCATTCATGCAGATATGGCAATCACTAAACCCCCCGAAGATTTAAATTTCCACTCACCTAACCGAACGCACCACAATTACAGCTTCTTCTCTGCTCCATTTTCGCCCATTGAAATAACGGCCCACTGATTCTCGTAATCCCGTTCAAGAAAAAAAAAGGCAACAATCCCTCCGACATGGAAGCCGCTGCTGCAACTCCGATGGAACCCATGGATGTGGAAGAAGCCTCCAAACTGCAACCCAAGGGATTTGGGATCAACAAGTACACCTTAATTTGCTCCATTTTGGCCTCCACCAACTCCATTTTGTTGGGCTACGGTCAGTTTCTTGTCTCTCTTTTGCTTTTTTGCGTTTTGGGTTTCTGAATTTTGGCTCAATTCGTGAAGATATTGGAGTAATGAGTGGGGCTGTGCTCTACATCGAAGAGAATCTCAAAATCTCATCCACCCAAGTGGAAATCCTTGTGGGGTCGCTAAACGTACTCTCTCTAGTCGGCTCTCTCGCTTCCGGCCGGACCTCTGATTCAATCGGCCGGCGATACACGACATTCCTCGCATCCACCACGTTTCTAATCGGCGCGTTGTTAATGGGTCTTGCCCCATCTTTTCCTCTTCTCCTAGCCGGTCGTATGATCGCTGGCGTCGGCGTCGGTTACGCCCTCATGATCGCCCCTGTCTACACGGCGGAGCTCTCTCCGGCCACATCCCGCGGCCTTCTCAGTTCATTCCCGGAAATCTTCATCACGTTCGGTATTTTACTGGGCTACATCATCAACTATGCTCTGTCCGGCCTGCCACCGCACATCAACTGGAGAATCATGCTCGGAATCGCCGGAATACCAGCGCTGGGCGTCGGATTGGGCGTTCTGACAATGCCCGAATCCCCACGTTGGTTAGTCATGAAGGGCAAATCGGAAGAAGCCAAAAAGGTGTTAATCAAAATCTCCACCAACGAAATCGAAGCAGAGGAGAGACTGAAGTCAATAACCGAAGCCGTAGCCGCAGCCGCGCCCGGCGGCAAATGGAACGGACAAGGGGTTTGGAAGGAACTACTGATAAAACCCACAAAGCCAATCCGCCGAATACTAATAGCCGCCATCGGAATCAACTTCTTCATGCAAGCATCAGGAAACGACGCCGTAATGTACTACTCACCGGAAGTATTCCGCGCAGCCGGAATCCAGCGAAAACGGCATCTGTTCAGCGTGAACGTGGTAATGGGCGTTACAAAGACCTGCTTCGTTCTATTCTCGGCACTGTACCTAGACCGATTGGGAAGGCGGCCGCTTTTACTAGTGGGGTCAGCCGGGATGACAGTGGCGCTAGGCTTACTAGCCCTGGGCTCAAAAGCAATGGAAATGGGAAAAGGCAGGCCAACATGGGCCGTAGTATTGAGCATAGTAGCATTATGTGGAGACGTGGCATTATTTTCAATTGGGCTTGGGCCGATAGCGTGGGTGTACTCATCGGAGATATTCCCGAACAGGATGAGGGCGCAGGGGTCGAGCCTGGCGGTATCAGTGAACAGATTGGTGAGCGGAGTGGTATCGATGACATTTCTGAGCATATCAGAAGAGATTACGTTTGGAGGCATGTTCATGGTGCTATCGGGAATAATGGCACTGGGTACCCTCTTCTTTTACTTCTTTTTGCCAGAGACTAAAGGAAAAAGCTTGGAGGAGATGGAGGTCCTGTTCCAGGACAAGGACACAAACAGTACTACGCCTGTGCAGATTGAAGAGACATTGTAGTCCTCCTCCTCCTCTACCTCTTCCCTTAATTTCTTCATCACTTTATGTTCATGTTTTGCGTAGCATTGTGGATCATCATGGATGAGCTGATGAACTGATGAGCTCTCATAGGATCAAAGTTCATTGTTTATTATTAAGATGAGCATAGCTTAGTTGGGCTTAAACTTCTGGGTTGAAAATTTGAAATACTTGGGGTTGGGGGGGCATGATTGGTCAAGTAGAAAAAAGAGAAGCCTACAAATATGGGGAATGAAGAAGAGGGGGGGGAGTGAAAAGTGGGTCAGGAAATCCATGGTTTGCGTATATTTTGCTGTTGTCATGAGGCAAAATTCAAGTAGAAGAGGCGAATCAAAGTACTGTAAAAAACTGTCTGTTAGCTATTGGTTTTGAATTCGTGGTTGTATATTAAAAAAAAGGCTAAAATCTGCACTTGTTCATGTGTTTTTCTCTTCTTGGAACTTTCTTTCACTTTCAGATGCTCTTCTCTTCACCCTTTCTCAACTTTCTTCAGCATTTTTCATCCTTGATTCACAAGAAGGAACAAAAAAACACGCATTCATATCGATTTCTTACTTTGGGTGTGAACCCAAATGAAAAGTTGAAGCTTTGATGATCTTTAAAACGCGTTTTTGGACTTTTCATAGCTAGCAAAGATAGATATTGTCTCTTTGTACTTTCCTTCTTAGGCTTCCCCTCGCCTCAAAGCTTTAAAACGCGTTTTTGGACTTTTCATCGCTAGCAAAGATATTGTCTAACTTTCCCACACCATTATAAAAAATGGTTTGTTATCTTTTCCAATACGAAATCTCACACACTCGAATTCATTAAAAAGGACAATAATATAAGACAAAAGTAAAAAAAGAAATGAGAAATTGAGTTCAAATTCCTTGTCTCAACCCTCCTGTTTTTACCCTTCTAAAAGTTCTTTCCCAATCTTAAAATTAGTCCACCCAAAGTTTCTCACCAAAATCCAACTAAAATATATCACAGTCACCATCACTTTTCCCTCTCTTTCTTCATCAACATTTACATTATATCATATAAAAACATAAATAATAAGAATTTCTAGTTTTAATTATTTTATTTCATAACTAGAAGACTTTCTTCCCATTTTTTTAATACATTCAAATAAAGGCATCCACCACCTATTTTTTTAATTCAAATAAGTGTTTGAAACATAGTGATTTAGTTGATTTAGTTGACAATGTCCTAAATGAAAATGGATTCAATTTCACAGATTTTAGGGCACTAATTCAAATTTGAATTTGAAATTAAAATATGATCTAACCCACCAACCTGTTTTTAATAACTTAAAACGTCTTTTGACCCAACAATATAGTAGAAAATGGTGTAGTGAGCCCTGTGCCTCCTGCCTCCTTTCCTTTCATGCCCTTAATTATATTTTTAAAAATAATTCCACCTTCTTATTCAAACCTACATGGGTAAATAGATACATATGTTGAAGGGTCACTTATACATGTGTCCCGTTCAATTACATATCATTCAAGCTGGTTGCTTTTTATTTTTTATTTTTTTCTTGGGAAGATAGACAAATAAGAATCGGTAAAAGGGTAAAATAATAATAATACCCACATTGCCTTTTGGGTGTTGCATGTTTCAGAATATCTATTTTATTTTATTTTTACTAAAACTTGTTGCTAAATGTGGATATTTATAATACCATTTTCAAGAAAATAAATATTAAATAATGAATAAGCATGACACGTGGCAGTATAATGTTGGCCACGTGGAAAAGCAGGTGCAGCTGGGCAAGTTTTGGTCGTGGTTTATATAAGCACTCTCCCACTTTTGGTTTGTCATGCATTTGTTGTTCCTTCTTCACACTCTGCCATTTTCCGCTTTCTTTCTCCAATGGATACCCGCTTCAAGCTCCGTCTCCCTCGCATGTTCCAATCCTCTTTCGCCTCTTGCCGTTCCCGTAATCTCTCCGATATCATCCACAAAGCCGTCTTTATTCCGTCCCCGCACGACGTTAGTTTCCGTAAGATCCAACCTGAGTATTCCTCTGAAACCGCCGAAAGCCCTGCTTTCTCACGTGATTTCCTTCTCCCCCGACGGAAAATTTCCCACCGTTTCCCTCTAGCCCCTTTCCCCTCTGCAATTTCCGGTGGCTGGACCTGCCCTCCAGCTTCTCCGATTTCGCCCTCCAAACCCTTCTCTGAGAAAACGACGACGTCGACGACGAAGAAGAAGAAGAAGAAACAGAGGAAACAGAGTAAGAGGGAGAGTCCATTCTGCCCGTTTAGTTCGTCTTCGGTGGAGTCGAACTTCGGCGGTACGTGGTGGTACAGTAGCGAGGACGACGACGACAACGACGAAACGGACACTCTTTTCTCCTCAAAATCGCGTTCTTCTGATTCGTCGGCGTCTCACCGACGGAACAAGTCTCGCCGGAGAAAAGGAGGTCGGAGCCGGTGTTCTGAAATGGGTGTGTTGCCGTTGAAGGGAAAAGTGAAAGATAGCTTTGCAGTGGTGAAGAAATCAAGCGACCCATATAATGATTTTAGAACCTCAATGTTGGAGATGATTGTCGAGAAACAGATATTCTCTGCTAAGGATCTTGAACAGCTCTTGCAATGTTTCCTCTCTTTGAATTCCCCTCATCACCATAATGTGATTCTTGAGGTGTTCACAGAGATTTGGGAGGCTTTGTTTTCCGACTGGGGATCTTGATGAACATCGAAACTCTGATCTCTTTGTTTGTCAGCAAAAAGAAAATGAATCAAGCCTAACTTCTATTGATTATTAACCAAATAATCAAAGTTTTATCCCTTATTGTGTGTAATATCTACTTCTAATTCTAATGATATTAATCTTTCAGATTATGCATATAACTCAATCTGGGTCTGTTTCAATGAACAGAAAAAAGCAGGAAAGATGAAGATTTTTGGAGAAGCAAGTTTTGAAAATTGGAGTTTTTGGAGGGAAGAATAAGAAGATAGAGACTTAAAATAGTGCTCCTTTTGGTACAGAACAGACTCCTTTTGAAATAGGTAACTTCACAGACACACACATACACATACACATAACACACACACACACACACACTTTAGACTTGTCAAGACAAAAGGGTTGAAAGATGGAAAAGGCCAATGGCTTAAAAGACATAAAAAAGACATAAAGTTGTTCAGATTTCTGTGATTTTGAATCTCTTCAAACCATCCTTCGCCACAAAAAGAATACAAAATTGTACAAAAATGTCAATCAACAAAGAACATCATATAGATATTGAAAACAGCGTCCAATCTTGTTTTGTTCTTCACAACAACCATTCATTGTGCTTGCCATTTGAATTTTCTTCATTCTAATACCCTTTACTTCAAAATTAAAATCTGCATGTAAATGCCTACGTGGCCATCTTGGTTTCAAAACACAAAAGAAAAAACAAGGATAAACACACACAATAAATATAATATATCCCTAAGTTTGACTTCAAAATATATGATAGTTAAGGCTAATGGATAAGAACAGAGCCAAAGATCATACTTTTACTCAGCAACACCCACAAGCTGTTCTTCAAACAAGAACACAAACACACAAGCTGTTCTTCAGAAGAGACATGAACTCTTAACAAAAGCCGAAGTGGGAAGCAGACCATAAATGAGTTTGATTTGTTTAGTATTTATACGTTATTATTCTAAGAAGTTGATTTGAGGTGTCCTCCTGCTGTCTTGTATCTGGTAGTGAAAAGGGTGTTTGCCTTGGAAGAAAAAACAACATGAGTTTGTGAGATCTCGCAACGGTTGAAGAGAGAAACGAAACCTTTATAATAAATGTGTGGATTCACCCTAGTAGACATATTTACAACTATGAGACTGACGGCGATACGTAACGGGCGAAAACGAAAAATATCTACTAGTGGTAAGCTTGAGTTGTTACAAATAGTATCAAATTCAAACACCGGGCAGTACGCTAGCAAAGACACTAGGCCCAAAGGAGTGGACGGTGAGAGCAGAACGCAAGATTCCTTATAAGGGTGTAGAATCCTCTCCTGGCATATGCGTTTTAAAACTGTGAGGCTGACGGCGATACGTAACAAGCCAAAACGGACAATATCTACTAGCAGTGAGCTTAGATTGTTACAAATGGTATGATGACAATACGTAACGGGCTGAAACAGATGGTATTAGAACCAAACATTGTATCGTATAAGAGTGGAAGAGGGGAACAAAGCATTTCTCGTAAGAGTGTGGAAATCATGAGGTTGATGACGAGACGTAATAAGTCAAAATAGACAATATCGGGTGAGTTTAAACTATTAAAGAGAAGATGAGAAAGGGAGCATTAGTATATATATATACAAAAGGGAGGTGTGGGGGGAAGAAGGTGATCACATGGTGGGGAGGCTGAAGGCAGTAATTTGGGTGAGTTGGTTACTTAAAAAGGGGAGTAAAAGTAGAGGGTAATGGGAATTGGGAAAAGGAATAGAGGCAAAAGGGTGGCAGAGTTTGAAGAGGGTAATAGGGGGGGTTAGCATGGGAATTGAAGGGTCATTGTCAAACCAAAAGGGAACAAAGGGAAAGACAAAGAGTGGGTTACAATCTAAAATTTTTGAATTCATGTAGAAGAAGAACAACAACAAGATTGCACAAAAGGGTTCGTAGGTGTTGGTTCATCTAGAAGAATCTAAGGACGCATTGAGTTAATGAGGATAGTGAAAGGGCGGAGAGGAAGCAATGGTGGGAATGTCTGGATCTTTGGCAGATGGGAACCCATTGGGCCTCCTCTTCATCTCATTAAATACAGTGTTAAGTTATAGCATTTTTTGGGTTTTAGAGCCTGCTTCTGCTGCTATGCTACCTGCTGCTGCTGGGTGGCTGCCTTTTCTGCCCTTTCTGGCGTTCCTGCACCCAACACTGATGGACTCCACGTCTCTATGATGGGCTTGTTCCAGGCCTACCCTTTTTGCTTCCATGCCGAAACAAAAACTCGAACATTATTGATGAATCATCAATATCCATTAATCACTCAGTTTTCTGGATTCCACCAACCAGCTCATTAATTACACTACTCCCATTTTTAAATCTAACCTTCTTTCTTTCTCTTTTGTTTCCTGATAATGACGCAACCATACCACAAACAAAAACTCTTTTTCAACTTTTTCTTACACATTTGTTTTTTTTCAAAATAATAACTCTTTCATTTACTAAACAAAAAAATAACTCGTTACAAATGATATTCAAGCATCGAGTAATGTGCCAGCCAGGGCGCTAGACTCACAAGGGGTGAATTGTGAGATTGGACGTTGGTTGGAGAAAGAAACAAAACATTCTTTATAGAGATGTAGTAATTCATGTCTAGGAAGAAAAATTCAAAAAACACAATATCTACTAGCGGTGAACTTACTTATTACAATTTGAGTTTGAGAGTGATATGAAAATGACGGAAGTGATGCAAATATAAGGTATCGAAACGAAACCCGTGAATGATACGAGGGTGAAGGGGAGGAGTAAGTTCAAACCAAAACCAAAACCAAAACCAAAAAGAAAAAAGAAAAGTGGTCCATGGTTAATGGTTAGGTCAACAAGTTTTGTCTTGCCTTCAATCCTCACCCTCTTCCACTTACCATTCTACTTTTGGCCCACACAAACACATCCCTCCTCCCCTCTACCTCTCCTCTAAGCTACGCTGCCTCTAAAATAGGTCGCTTCTTGGTAAGACGTTATATTACCTCGAAAATTCTCTAATATAAACGATATTTTTTTTCTATATTTTGAATTAACAAAATTTTGATTGCGTATAAAAGAAATTAACCACGTCTAAACTTCTTCCAACTCGGTTTCTAGCTTGTTTAGAAATCATAGCCTTTTAAATAAATTTTTAAACCTAAAAAGTGTAGGTTGAATGGAAAGAAAAAGGGAACTCATTTTTAAGGAACAATACCGCTCCTTTTGCTCCTCCTAAAAAGTCTCAATGCACCAACCAGTGACAGCTTTAGAGACGCAAATACAAAGCTTTTAGGTTAAATATTCCCTTTTGATGGATTTCTTCAAATTAGTGAAACAAAAAACACACCCAAAATCAAACGGAGCATGTGATGTATCCATCATCAAAAGAAGAAATTAAAGAACAGTAATCCATCGCCGTCGCCTCCCCTTCCTATTTATTCAACATATTGTGTTCTTCTTGTTTCCCACATTTGTACCCAAATATACAACAATTCAACGCCCACCCATGATGCTACGAGCCTCCATTTCCAGCACCAAGAAGTTCTTCAACAAAACCTTATGCAACTTCAAATCCTTCTTCTCCAATACCTACCAACGGCTTCCCAAAATGGATAAAGACTCATCCTTCATGAAGAATAGTAATGGCAATGCAGTTCATTTTTCGAAGACGATCCGCGAGACCCAGATGAAAAAAGTTGAGAAAAATGAAGATAGCATCAAAATTGGAGCGACCCATCAAAGGAAAACGCAAGAAAATTTGAAAGTGTATGATGAGAGAAGAATGTGTTTGGTTGCTAAGAAAATGAAAGAATTGGAAAAGCTAGACGCTAGAGATGTGGATCATGCTTTGGATATTGAAGAGATTCTTCATTACTACTCTCGTCTCTCTTGTCCAACGTATCTTCAGATTGTGGACAAGTTCTTCATGGACATTTTTGCTGAATTTTGTGCTAATCCATCTTCTCAACAAACTAACCCAATTGGGCACCAATCATCAGTGGGGTTAGTGAGAAGAAAATCTCGTTTAGGAAACGTGGAGTCTTCGCTCTTCTAATTCTTCACGACCATATTTGTGTTAGGTGATATTGTCCATTCTCAGCATTGTGGTTGGTCTCACACCAATTGAAATGTATTTCTTACTTATGAACAAACTCATTATCATTCCCTAAATGAGCTAATATGAATTCTCTCCCACAATTCTCAACAATTTCTTAATTTCATTTTTAGTACGTTTGAACCCGACATTTGATTAAGTTTTTATGATTCATCTCGATTCATAAATTGTAAGATAGAGTCAAAGAAAGATGATGGAGAGTGCTTCATAATTGGAAAAACGAGCACCGTGGAAATACATCCCACTCAGCCAATGGGCACTAAATACTTTTCGAGAGATCTCCTCCAAATCACTAGTATGGCTATTAAAATCGTGAGCATCGGCATGAAGGTTCCAAATCCAAGTGGTAGTATCAGGACCCTTAACTATTGTTCTCGAGAAATGACTCGGTCTGACCCATTCCTCGAAAGAAGTTTTTACGGGATCCCTATCTACCAAAATTTTGACTTCTGGTTACGGCTAACAAATAATCATTGAGTCCTCCTCTTTCCGGACAACACATACAAAGAGACTCGCCAACGGTTTCTTTCTCTGCTATCTCCCATCTATTTTTTTTTAGTTATTCACTAAGAGCAATTATGATATGGAAGTTGATCCGGGCCAAGTGTTCGGATCTATTATGACATAGCCAAGAGGCGCTCAATGGACCTCTTTAATCTTATAAAATCTTTTTCCGGGTTTTGAATTGACGAAAAAACAAATTTTTTTTTTTGTAGAACCTAATGGATTCACTTCTAAATGGAACTACTTTATGTCTTACCTAGAACATATTTCATAATAAATGGAACAAATAGAAAAATTTCTAACTAATAATACTGTTATATTTACCGAATAGCTATATATTTATACAAAAATATGAAAAATTCATTCATATTTAAAAATATTTCTCAAAATAAAAGTTTAATAATAGCAGTTAATAATTAAAATATTCAACCAATTTTCTGCTTCAATATAATTACGGGAGTAAGTGTTATAGCTTGTTTCCAATACTCAGCGGCTTGATTGGACCAAGCCTCCACAATTTTAGAATCTCCCTGTCGAATGACCTGTTCTCCCCGGTCGGAATAGACAGGTAAATTCCTTCCCTTAGAACCGTGTTATAATTGAATGGTGTGTTTTTGCTCAAACATTTTGGGAGATTTTTGAGTCATGGCTGTGGGCACCTAATCCGGAGGGTGAATGGCCGCTTTACTTTTGAGAGAGAGAAACCCAATTAGGAGTTATAAGCCTTGGATTCTAAGTTATGTTTTCAAAAAGAAATAATATATGGTTTGATTGTATTATATGAGTAAAGGCTAAATTGAAGATAATCCAAATCATGATGAAAATCATGAACAAAAGAATCTTAATTTGAACAGGAAACATTCGAATCCAATGACAAAGTTGAAGACAGGAGAAAAGGGATGCCTCCAAAAGTGTGGGAAGAGCTGGATGAAGCAAATCCACGAACAATCATTTGAACAGCGAAAAGTTGTTACTATTGGGCTGGGCCTTTTGGTGTTCTTATCCATCCATTGCCTACCTCAGTACCCGGCCCAGTTTGGTTGTGTTTTAAAATCAAGAACAACAACAACAACGTTGTTCCCCAAATATGCCCCAATGAGTACAGTATTCAGTGAGATTCCCTTAAAGATGGGGACGAAGATATAGAAATGATTGAAGAAAATGGTACAAGGGCAGCAGAATTGGAGTGAATGCAGAGATGGTTGGTGTGTAAGGGAATGGTTATTTAACTTTATAAGATTCTTGTCCTTGTATTCTTCTTTGTTTGGGTGCCCATTCATGAAATCACAACGTTTTTGACCAAATGTCACAAGCCCCGCCTCCTCCTCCTCCTCCTCCTCCTCTCTCAACAGTCGGACATATCCAATAATCATTATTAACACACTACTTTCCTTAACTTGCTTTCATATATAATGATGAGTTTGAAGCATCCCCCTCCATTTTCAAGTGGAGAAAGTGAAGGATGAAAGGACATATGTATATATATTAGATATGGGGGATGGGGTTTTAGGGTAATGGACTATAATTTGGAGTAATGGATGGGGAAATGATTGAAGGGAGAGAAGAGTGAGATGCAATATGTGAATATAGTGGTGTATAATAATGCCTTTTTTTTGGCTCAGGAGAAATTCTGGTAGGGAAAAGTTTGCACCTTCTTCTGCTCTTCTATATATCTCATATATATCTCCCTAATCTGTAATGCTTCTCATACATTTGTCCTCTTCTTTCTCACACGCCTGCATGTCTTGCCCTTTTCACTCCCTCTTCCTCTAATGCTTATCATCCATTCCTCTCTAACACCTAACTCACCCACTTCTAGCAAATATCATGGTCCTTTACTTATTGTCGTCGTCAGTAGAGAAGTTTCCACACTCTTATAAACAATTATTCGTTCTCCTCCCTAATTGATGTACGATCTCACAATCCACCCGCCTTCGAGCCCCATCTTCCTCACTGGCATCAGCTCTCCATTTGATGTGGGTCCCTCCAATCTACCTCCCTTTGAGACCCAATGTCCTTGTTGGCACACTGCCTCATGTCTACCTCCTTCGAGACTCAGTCTCTTCGTTGGCACATCGCCTGGTGTCTAACTCTGATGCCATTTATAACAGCTCAAGCTCACAACTATCAGATATTATTTGCTTTGGCCCATTATGTATTGGCGTCGGAACAATTTTAAAATGCGTCTCTTAGAAAGAGTGCTCTACACACTTTATTTCGTTTTACTCTCCAACCAATGTGGGATCTCACATTGAAAGCAACTGCAAAAGTACTTTAAATTTGTATTTAGTTGGTCTCGTTGAATAATTCTTCCTAAACGTGATAAACACCGTTAGATAGAAATTCGTGGTGATGGAGCATAAAAATAAGGTGAAATTCCGTACAAGAGATTGTATTATTGGAGGGGTGGAGACTGAATTGAAGGGTGTGGGTGTGGGGGTATGAAGATACACCGCAGTGGTTAAACATAGCGTCCTTTAACTTATGGCGAATGGTCCACTGTGAAAAATATAGAATACCAATAATAAGTAGGAAGAAGAAGAAGAAGAAAGAGGACCACTGGAGTATTAAATCCGTAGAGGAGGGGGTGTGGGGAATGGTCCAAAATGGAAGAGAGAATAGCATGTGCTCCATGTGTAAGCAAGGAAGGCGCAGGCAGGGTGGTGTGCTGTGCGGTGCTGTGCTGTGCTGTGCTGCGCATGGGGCTGCGACATGTAATGCAATGACTCCAATCTGCAACTTCTCATGTGCCCTCTGGTCCATACACTCCATCCTCTCCTATACCAACTGGCACACTTTCCTTTCTCCAACTTACCTTAACAAGCATCCAGTTTGTGCTCAATTTTCCCCATAATTCCCTATTCTAGTTCCGCATGCAATCTGTTTAAAACAAAAACTAACATAGGATGCACCCATAATTTACATTATATTAGGACGATTTTGGACCATCCTACACTTTGTAGATTCCATAGATTCGTTGCAGTTTTGACTACACCGACAATCATAATTTTCAACTTAGAGAACCATATTGAAATAGACCACTTGGGACGTCACCTTCCAAGATTTTTCCTTTTTGTCACAATCGATAGTTGTTATTGAAATTTAAGTCTATTTGGTTCACTCAACTATTCGATTTGACATCACATTTGATAAGGATTATTTATTTGTTTATTTAGAAGAAGTCACCATTTGTGTTAATGAAAGACAAAAATAATATCCAACCCAAAGCACGACCTTGGCTTTTAGCCTTCTTTCATCCTAACCTCAAGTGGAAGTCACAAGATGGGTTTGACTGCCTTATCCTCGTAATAAGGTTTCTAAACAAATTACTTTGAAGGGAATATTACATGTGGTTATGAGTCTCCTCAAAGGAATGTTTTGTCTTTACAAAAAAAAAAAAAAAAAAAAAAAAAAAAAAAAAAAAAAAAAAAAAAAAAAAAAAAAAAAAAACACTAAAATCACTTAATTTCATGCAACTCAACAACTTATGGCCTCGACAACAAAAGTTTGAGCAAATTCATTGCTCCTTCAGAAATACAAATTCTTTGTCTTCAACAACATAAGTTGTTGGTAATAATCATTACCCAATCATGGTTTCATGTTTCTACCACATTCAAGTGTAAAGGGGTGGATTTCAAACTAAAAGTAAAGAAATTTTGAAGGAATAAAGTTAGCATCAAAATAAAGAAGCCTAGAGGTTGATTGTATTCGTTACAACTATTATTAACGAGTAGTTTTACCAATAATCTATAAGAACAACCAGCTCTGATACTAATTATTGGATCAATACGACAATAGTAGAGGAAGGTGAAATAGGGTTTTAACACGGTTTAGTGAATAAAATTTGAAGTTATTGAAGAAAGTTAACGTAGGATGGGAGTCGGTAGGAAGTGGAAGGAGAATTTGATGAATAAAAATGGGATCTTTGAAGGACCAAAAGACAATAATTAGTAGGGCAGCCATATCTGGTCCCTAATTGGATTGTCCAATTCCAAACCCTTCGATCCTTTGATGTTGATACTCTCTCTCTCTCTCTCTCTCTCTCTCTCTCGATGAGTTACAGAAGAGAATATAGATTATTATGAAGGCAATAATAATATAAAGATTCTATTTGTGTTTTCATCACCTTCCATTCGGTCGGAATAAAGCCCACCAACACCAAATCTTCTCAAACCCTAAACACATATATTCCTCTCTCTCTTACAATATATTGTCATTATCATCCCCATCTCCCCCACACTTAACCCTCTTTCTGTAACAACCCAGATCCAAAAAAGTTGACATATCGTTCGGTGTCTAGCTCTGATACCATTTATAGCGATTCAGATCTACCGCCAGTAAATATTGTTCTCTTGGGGCTTTTCCTTTTGTGCTTCTCCTCAAAGTTTTAAAACGTATTTGCTAGGAGAAGGAAGTAGACATCACACTTTTACTCCAAATAATCCCTGCATTATCATGCCTTCCTTCTCTAAACATTTTCTTGCACCCATATATATATATATATATATATATATATATATATATATATATTAATCACTTCCAAATGGG